AGATAGTAAAAGAGTAGCCAACTCGGTGAACATTTTCTATTGGCTGGTTGTTATAATTGAATTTGTACGCTATTTATGTCCTAATACGTGTGGAAAGGTTTATTTTGTTGTAAATCTAAATGCGATACATCAGGGCGATATACCTGGTTTTGTCAGACATGAAGTTTTTCATGTTAGGGATGAAGGATAATGTAGACTTTATACCAAAATGGGAAGTTTAGTCCATGGCGTAGATATTGATTTAACTCAATTAATTGAAAACCCGGTTGGAAAATATAGATATTATAATCATCATAGAAACGTCAGAAGCAGTGATTGAGAAACATAGTAGATTCAAAAGAAAATGTTGGTTTAATGCAGTGTATGAGATAGCTCTACGATGAAGGAACGATGCTGGACTAGATTGATTAGCAGATACTACAAAATACGATAATGAAAAGGTGGTACATAATTATAGGTACGAAAAAAGGAAGCTCATAATATTTTTAGAAATAAAAACGAAAATAGATAAGGAACTTGATATAATACTTAGAAATGGATCATAGACTAGATAACTATATCAAAAAACTAAAGTCACAAATTAAAAGATTAAGAAATGGTTAATTAAAATTGTTGGATATGACAATGGTTGAAAACGGTCACAAGCTAATTAAGATAACAAATGAAATGGTAAAGAACAACAACAATAATAATAAACTAATGAATAAATAAATCAAAACATATTTTTTTGTTTAAAAATGTTTTATGATAAATCAAAAAATAAATTGCCACTGCTGTGTACGAATAAATTATCACATATTTCGATAATTCGATTGACTATTTATGTCCCAGATCTCTTCACTATGCCCCAGTTTTGTCTGCGACAAAACCTAGTATCAATATTCTCGTCTATAAATATGTTTTGGATATTCATAACTTTGCGAAAAGTTCATGTAACTATACAAGTAATACAAAATTAATAATTTAAATAACATATGTATGTATATTACAATATATTATATCACTTCAATCGAGACTAGTCCATTCCTCAGTTTTCTGAAAATCTCAGCTTACTTTTTTTGGTACCTAACGACAGGATCATCTTCATGTCAATTGTCTGACCTTTAATCGTGACGTCCGGATGCTTGTAAACCAACAATCGGCCAATGTGTGAAAAAAATAATCCAAGAGACGAGTTGTGTGGATCCGCATCTGTGTCCGTGAACTTTTGGTAGACCCGGTAATCAAAAACCCAATCGTAGATGGAGTACTGGAATGCCAGAAGCTGTACGAGCGCTAAAAATATGTGAAGTGGTAGACGTGCGCTGTAACACTAGTGAGACCATAGTCGATGATAACCCGCTGTTACACCTAAGACACAGCCAAACAATACAAAACACACTAAAGAAAAAATTATTTTTTTCAAAATAAATTCGAATTGTTGAAAAAATTATTATTGATTGCCGTTGCATAACATTGTAAGTTATAACTGAACGTACCAACAATTAAACTTAACAAAGCATAATCAACTTAGCGTAAACACTCATTATCTCAAAAAATATTAGCTTTTTTCAAAATTTATTTTGTAAAATATTTAAGAAACAAGCAGCTCTCAGCTAAAATACCTTCCTCCCACAATAATGTGGTGAAGTTCGTATTGAAATTTAACTAAAATCGTTTTACTTCAATCCGTAATTTTTATTATTTTTTCTGTGGACAACTTTTCTACAAGTAATTTTGCTCCGATTTACAATGATAGCAATTTTTCTAATAGGTAATCCGACTGTAGAGGTATTTTAAACCAGTTAATTTTTTGATTTTCCCAAGAGTTTTCTCAATAAATCGAAAAACCTAAAAAAAAAACTGATGAAAAACGGGAAAATGTACGAAGTGTAGGTATCAGTTAGTTAAAATATTTCGGCCTTTTTTTTCCTATGAACAACTTTTCTACCATCAATTTTGCTCCAATTTACAGTGATAGCACTTTTTCTAAGAGTAAATCTGACTGGGGAGGTACTTATGGAGGTCATTTTTTGATTCCCTAAGAGTTTAACCAAAAAATGTGAAAAACCGGGAAAAACGGAAAAATCGGATCAATATTAAACAAATATTATTTAAGAAATTATATAATGTCTATTTAAATTATTTTACCATAATATGACATATATATTGTTTACAATGCATCACTATCAACTGAACTCCGCTCAGAATCGTTTTTTCGTTAGCAATGGTTTAACGTTGTTAACAGATTAAATTCCCTTAGTTTATATCCTACCTTCTCAACTTCTCATCAACAGTGGCTGCACTCATACCCATTATCTTAGGACAGCTTTTTAGATTTTTAAAGTGCCTACTTGACGTTAGTACAAAGTACACAAATAAACAAGAGATTCGTTATTACCTGGGTTCGGTTAATTTCAACTCACTCCCTCAGTACATAAAAAAAATTATTCATTATAGTGCCAAAAGTTTATTAAAAATGTATTATACTAAAGTATAACAATTTACTCAGTAAAATAATTATTAAATCTTGGTCATTAAATGAATTTTTATAAATTAATATTGTATATTTGTAAATCGTTGTACTTATTGTTTAAAAGGTATAAATACATTCTTATACAAGCAAGTAAAGCTTAAAAAATATTTTTTTTCGTAACTCATTTGCCCCACCACAAGCAACGCTTTATAGGGTAAATGCATTAAATTGTAATTTATATTTTATATTAAGTAGGTACTCATGTTGTTTTTATTTTGATGTTAGTAAAAAAAATAAAAATAAAAAAAAAGTCAAGTGATATTTTTTTTTATATAAATTCAATATAGCCAGTAGTATGATTACTACATCAGTGTAATCATACTATGAAAAAAAAAAAAGAAAAGAAAATTATACATTTTTACAAATTACGTATAGGGTAGCGTAGCTATTAATTTGCAACTCCTATAAAAATAGTTTGGTAGTACTCGCTACCCTGTAATAACGCCTATGCTTTCATTGATCATAATGATCTGGTATTTTAGTTATATTGCTTGTGAAAAAACTGGAAACTATGTTTTGTATTATTATTTCTCACTAATGAATTTTATCATTGTATTATAAAAATTGGCAATAGTTAATAATTTGTTTAAATATTGATAATAAGTAAGTCATGTTCAAAATAGTAAAAAATAATGAAAAAGATTAGCTATTAGAAAGCCTGAAATACATTTTTAAATTTTTTGATGGTGAAACTTTTTATTTCCATCACCCGTTAACGAGTTATTTTTACTTTTAAGTAAGTATTAAACATTTCACTACCAACATTTATTTAAGCTACCTATAAAACTTGATTTTCTTATGGAATTTTTAATATAAGTTGCTATTTGAAAATCAAAATCAAAAAGTGGTTTCAGTCCCTAAAATAAGTGCAACGGAATTACATTGTAATAAAACTTTTTAGAGCTGTTCGTTTCTTAGTAAATACTTTCCGATTCTCGATTCAGCCACCTGATTTTTAGCACTATTTTTCTAAAGAGAATGCCGCAGGCACCGTTATTATTATACTTAGATACTTCCATGTAGGTAGGCGCATAAAATAATTTATTATGTTTCGTAACAAATAAATAATGAGACTATTTTTATATAACCTGTTTTTCGTACTTATGGTGATAATATAGTGGCGGTCAAATAATTTTGATATGAGGAGGGATAAGGATAATCATAAAGAACTATATTATCATTTACAAAATTGTTTATAACTATATTATCATAATATAATATACGGAGTGATTTTTAAAGTTGCTCGCCCCATTTTTATGATTAAATTATGCATAAATTATAATTCTGATTTTTGGAATATTTAAGTGCAATGAACGTCGATATTTTCGTATATTTAGATTTTTCACAACAATTAAGGAGTATCCTGTAGCGATAAAACTTTAGATTTTTAAACGGAAACCTGCATGCTCCGATGGAAATTGTCAATCTGATGTTTTTTCTGAAAATTTTAACGTATTGTAATCGAAAGTTTCCAAATTATTTCGCTTTAATTATTAAGGATTTATCGTATAGATGACCTACGACGCGTTCGCATAATAATAATATAAAAACGTGTGATAAAATTTGACCGTTTCGATTGATATGCAATTAAAAATGTCAAATAACAATAATATGCATTGTGCTGTCCCGGTAACAGCCTATAATAGCCTTTTATGTGAATTGGATACCGACTTTTTCATAGAAATCGTATATAGGCAATTTCTTGTTTTGAATAGTACAGTTACTATCCATATGTGTTTAAAGCAGAATAACTGAACTTTTGTTTCAAATTTCGATTACAATACGTCAGCATTTTCAGAAAAATCATCTAATTAACAATTTGCATCAAAAAATATAGGTTCGTATATGAAAAGCCAAAGTTGTTAACGCTACAGGACATTTATTATTTAAATGTTGTGAAAAATTAAAGTAAGTATTCGAAAATATCAGTATTACTCGTTCTCCCCCAAGTTTGACCATTCCTGTAAAAATGATTACTAGAAATACTTTGGCTGTTTAGTTTATTACTTTCATTTTGTATATATTATATAAATTATATTTCTATTTATTACACGTTATCTCATATTATTATAATACGCATTAATTATTGTATACTTCTTTCTCTCTTTCTTAGTTAGGCTCAGGTTATTTTTATTTTCTCCGTTATTGTAATTCGTTAGGATTTAGGTACATATAATGATTATTATCGAAATGTTGATATTGTCAGTACAGTTGAAATCTCAAAGCAATAAATTATAATTAACTAAATTAAAATTTTTATATCAACATAGGTACTTAGAACTCAAATTCGCAATGTAAGAATATGAACAAATTTAGGCATTTCAGTTCACTGAAACAATATCTAGTTAAAAAAAAAACCCTCATATTATTTTCATTCAGTAAATTTTTTATTTAGAAATATTAAACGCATTTTTTAATATAAAATATCACATTTACATTTTATTATAATTCGGATTTTTTTTTTTTTTTTCAATCCTTAAATTGGTTAAATAACTTCGATGGCTTTCCGCTTGTTCCTATCCATTACAGCTACTTTTAGTTCCTTATAATTGGTTTTCCCTATGTCTTCTATGATCTGTTTCATAAATGTTCTTGGTCTACCTATTCCAGCTTTTCCTTCTATTATTGTCGTTATCCATTCATTGTTTTTCATAATATGTCCGATCCATTTTTTCCTCCTTTCTCTGATTATCTTCCATATTGTTTTTTGTTTGTTTATTCTTAGATATACTTCCTCATTTTTAACTTTCACTGTCCAAGAAATTTTCAGTGCTCTTCTCCAACACCATGTTTCAAATGCTTCAATATTTTTTCTTTCCGCTTTGAGTATTGCCCATGTTTCTGCCCCATAGAGGGATATACTCCATACAAAACTCTTTATAAGAGTTTCCCTGGTATTACCATACAGCCAGATAATTAAAGCTTTGGTTTAGCACAACCAAATCTAATCAGTTGGTTATCAAGATTCAACTTGACTGCATTACTGTAGAAAAAACAGTAAATCCTATTGTTTGGTTGTGGACAGTTTTAATTTTATGTAATTAACAAACATCTATACTAACAGTACAATAGTTTTAAATTCCAAGTATAACTTAAAGGCAATTTAAAAATAGATTATATTTAATCTTTTGTTTGATAATTTATAAAATTATTAAGTAAAAATATTTTCTTGCATATTTATGTCACAGGAATTGTGAATTATATATTATATAATGTATAATATAATAATATAATATTAGTGAATTAAGTATAAGTTAAAATATAGTAAGGGCATAAATTGTATACTTGTTAGTACTAATACCAATTCATAGATAAAATGTAACAGACATTTAAATACAATTTGTGAGTAATATATAACTTAAGTACATCAACTATAATAATTTGAACAACTTAGAAATAGGTACCTAAATTTAACCAATTAGTCAAATTACAATAATTTCAAATCAGTATTAAATTATAAACAACTACAGAAGTAACATAAATTAATAAATATTAATAATAAAATTAGTACAAATTATATATATAATTTCACTTTGGCCATCAACAACAAGCAATACACAAACTGCCAATGTAAGAATAGGAAATACAAGAAATAGGCTAGACTCTATTCAAATGAATTGGGAAATTCCTGTGAATATGTATGTATTTATATAGTTAAGTGATAAAATGATCTAGGGTAAGCAATTTCCCTTTTGTTGTCTGTTCAAAATTTAGAGAAATAAAAAGTGATAAGTTAAATAAAAACTAAAAACTGACTTAACTATGTACAAATAAATAGGATATTCATCATAATAAATATTATTCAAAAAATAATAATAAATTATAAACTATAAAATACAAGAATAAATTATATTGACAATAGGAATAAAAGCTCCATATAACTGAATAGAATAACATGGTATAGGTAAAATTTTATTAGGAATCTAATAAAATAGGGATGGGCATGAAATTCGAATGTCTAGATTAACCGACCGAATCATACAACTTAAAGTGATATCTAATGACGAAAATGTTAATTATAAGATTGCTTGTTATAAAAAGAATTCATTGTGTTTATGTAATCTACTAATATAACAATAATCATTTTAAGTATAGAACTACACGGTTAGATGCACGGTGATAATTATTCTAAACTCGTACATTTTAAATATTCTAAGGAAAACCAACCCATGATAAACCCACTACGATTAACTTATCTTTACTTAATTATCGAATGATTATTGAAAATGCTACATAAGGATTATACAGCAATAATATTGTTGGTGATATAATTATATAGGTACGTATACATTTTTATTATAAACCTGTAAATGTATCAAATAAAAATTAATGTCAAGTATCAAAAATAATTGAGTGATACTTTATAACTAACAAAATATGACTGATAATCTGCGAAATCTAAATTTCTTAAATCCGGATACGCCCATCACTAGTATGTATACATATTTATCATATTTTTCTGACTTCTGACTGGATTTTCACTTGTTAAATGTAATTTAAATTTTCTCATACAAATTTAGACACTCTTTTTTTTAACTTGTTAAGGGTTAAATTTTTAAAAACTTTTCTTAGTGGTCCGTATATTTTAGAAAGAATCTATATGGAAAATTTAAAGTTTCTAGACCCAGCAATTTGCGATTCTATATGACATTCAGTAAGTTTCTTCTTTTATAAATTTATATATTATATATATTTTGATTTATGGTTTTTTTTCAGTGGCGGATTTGAGGAGAAAAGCCCAGCTTAAGAATATTAGTTTTTAAGGCTATAAATATATTTGAATTTACAAGTGAAAAAAAATATTATGTTATACTACATTTATTTATTTTAATACTAATTATAATTAAATTTAAAGTACATTATATTATTGTAATCTGCATTAAATATATTGATTTAGATTAATTGGTTTTCTGAGGTTTGATATATATAAGGGGGTTGTGTGCAAGGAGAGTCTAGCATGGAATTTGTAATAAAATTTGACCATTACTCCATGCATTATTTGCTTGTGAAGGTCCCTATGGAATATATTGTTTGTTTTTAATAACTGAGTAATTAATTATAAATATAAAACATAAACTTTATATTTTTATTTCTTATCCGTACTTTCAAAGAATAAAAAATGCGGACCTCGTATTTCAATAAAACAAAAATATTATTAATTTTTATTTTCAATAAAATGAATTAACAGCATTTTCTAAATTAATTTTGTCTACTCTCTCGTTTAATGTACAACTAACATATTATGGTTGTTAAGGTGATCTGTTTAAGTCAAACTGCGATAATCTGTTTTTATTTTCAAAGAGCTCATGGATCTTTCTGCACAACTGTATGTACAGGTAGAGTAAAAAATGTTAACAAAAAAATATTGCACTTCTTTCAATCTGTAAATGACAATTGTTTTTTTTTATATTTTGTCAGGGGGGCTCGAGGCTGGTCAGACATATCCAACTTACCCTACCATTAAATCCACCACTGTTTTTTTACACCATTCATTATTATTTTTTTAATTATCTACTTGTAAATAAATTTATTATGGGTTTTTTTTTCTTTAATTATATTATATTATATAGTTGGTGGGTGAGAATATTATTTAAAATTAAAATAAGAATAACACAAACCTATTCTTAAAAAACATTAAGATATGCAAAAATAAGAACTAGAATTTATTTACATGCTGAGGAGCTTCAGTCTCTAAGGGATTGCCTTTCAGTATAGCCAATATCATGCTAAAACAAATAAAAAATGTTCATTGGTAATACATATATTGTATACAAAAATGTATGTTTGTTTTTATTTATACTTACAAATACAAATAGAAAAAAAATGAAACGAGGTACCATGCTGTATATAATATAGCATTGCGCATATGATTTTTCAATTGACCACGATGATGGATTTCAGCTGGATCAAATAATCCAGTATTTCCTTTAGGAACTTTGATAGTTCTATACAATAGTATACAAAAGAAAAATTAATACAAATCATATTTACTATTATTATAATATGTATTCAGAACTTACTCATAAATTACCCACACAACAGCTGGTAAGTTCATCAAGGACATCAACCAATTAAAGTCTGTTAAAAATACTATAAATATTAATGTTTGAGCAAAGATTTTTGGTTGAACCCACTAGAAAAAAAAAAATAATAATAATAAATAGTACAGTAATTACATTCATTGAACTCTATATCAGTGATATCATCACATGGTTTAGTCACATATGGCCATATTGATATTTAAATGTGAAATCTGACTTAAATGCGTCCAAATATGTATTAATAATTATTTACATCATTAGTTTGTATATTAGCACCATATTTATAGAAACATATCTAATCAAATATGATAAAACAGCACAACCATTCATCAGTATTGTCAACCATAAAATAAAGTAAATAACAAATGAACATACGAACGGCAGAAAAAGATTTTGGTAATGAAGTAAAAAACTACATAGAAATAAACTCAGTTTTAATATTATGTTAGTCAAAAATAACGTTTTTTTGATTATTATTTCATAGATGTATATAAAAATTAAATATACAATGGAAATCCACTAGGTAGGTATAAATCAATTTATTAATGGCAGCTGTATGTCTAATGTTTATCTATCATAAGATTATACCTATAGATATAATACCTACGTCCTACATGGTGTAAATTTATTTTATCGCTATAATATGAGGGACGTTGATTATAAACTGAATTTGTCACTTAGTCAATGTAATAGTTCTTAATATAGAGGTTGTTATATTATATACAACCAATTTAAGTTAAAAAAAACATATAACCTAACTTAATCCTGTATATATATATATTATAACTTTATTTCTGTTTACCGAACATTGGTATGAACCATAAATGAACCATTAGTAAGATATCAAATTATATAACCATATAGTAATATAATATTTGTGTTTAAACATTTAAAAAGGAAATAGATAAAGATTACTATGGCTATAACAATAAATATACCGAAGCTAAAAAAAATTAATTTTCTAACACATTAAACAGAAAATAATTCTACAAAAGTAGTTGTACATGGTATTTATAATACGTAACAATGTAAAATAATTTCTCAGCAATAAACAGAGTAATAAATAACAAAACATGTGTGTTTTATTAAATTATGTATAATATACAAAAAAAGATACCTACTATGAATGTTAAAAACAAACAATTAGATTCTGAGTGTAGCGAAGAATATATTGGTTTTACAAAGATGTCAATTTTTTTTTATACTGTGTACAAAAATTCTACTAGAAAACTTGCTCCAAAGTATCAAGCATAGCACCTTTTCTGAAAGTAAATTTTTCTAGGGTGATACTTTAGGGAATCATTTTTTTATTTTTCTAATAAATGGGAAAAAAAGAGAAAATAAGAGAACTGTAGGTATTAGTAAAAAAAATTGTTTTTTTCTTGTGAACAACTTTTCTACTAGCAATTTTTATCCGATTTACAATGATAGCACGTATTCTAAAAGGAAATCTGACTGGAATGGTACATTAAAAAGTCATTTTTTTGATTTTCACATAATTTTTCCCGACAAATCGAGAATATATGGTAAAAACCGGAAAAATAGATCCACTATTTCAACACATATTACTAAAGAAAATATATTATACATATTATGTAATTATTTTGGAATGATGTAACATTTAATATATTGTTGACAAAGCAACACTATTAACCGAACGCAGCTCAGAATCTTTTTTTGTTAGCAATGGTTAATTATTATACACAGATATACATTAAATTTCCCATCTACCTTCTAACTTTTTACCTATAACAGTGGCCCATCCATCTGAAGAATGTCTGTTTTTTTTTTTTTTAATTTACTAATCAAAATTGCAAAACTTTTTTGGAAAATAAATATACACCTCATGCCAAACTCAAATCTGGTTTCAGAATTTGTATTCCTTTACTACATTGATTGGACTGATAGAAAAATAATTGGTCTAATTTGTTACGTTGCAGACAAAGAAAGAAAATGTCAGTACATATTAACCAAATTTACAAAAAACTAAAGGTTTCCATTGCATTATTATTTACTTGTGATCAATGTATGATATTATGTGGTTGACCAAGTCACAATAAGGCTGCATAACTTTAGTAATGATTACAGCCATTACGGCATAAAAAAAAATGTCTTTTATTCTAAATTAAGCAAAGTAAGCTGTATGATGTATTTAGTAGTGTATATGGTACTTACAAAATTTAGTCTAGAACAACATTCTTGAGCATTTAAGTAGTCACATTCAAGATCAGACAATGTTATAATCTAATTAAATTAGGTAGTTGTTGAGGAAAATAATATTTTAATCATTAAAAATATTAAAAATATTTTATAATAGGTAAATATATAATAAGTAGACATATACCTATAAATAATAATAATTTGTAAAACATAATTAACGGTGTAGGTATTCGTGGTGTTGATGATGACTTTGTGTGTGTGGATAAGTGCATAAGTACTGATGGTACCTACTATTTAACAACAAGTTGTAATTGTAAAAGGATACAGAGTATATCATAAGGAATAATAACGCTCCAGTCATTATCATAGCAAACCCATAGGTGATAATTTCCCACATGACGATTATATTCACAAGTCACTTATAGTTTTCTGGTATGTTGAAAATATGATCCTCGACAAGACGGCAAGATTCAAAAATCGTGTTAAAGCACCATGCTTAAACTGCTCAAAGCCAATGCTATAGATGCACACGTTGAAATCGATGTGGTTAGGTAAAAACAACAAAATGGATAAAATAGACGTGTGTTCGAAAACAATTAAAAATGGAAATTAACAGGTTTTTAAAAAATGAATCAAAACACTTTTAAAGTTTTGTTTGTTTTCGATAATATCTTATCACTTATCACGGTGTTTGTCGGCGACCATAGACCAATGATTAACCTGTGTCAGCGACCGTAGTTAGCAGTGATAACGAAAATATACGAATACAATAATAGTTGTTAGTCTGACCGGTAGATGTCACTGTTACTATCATTTGTTTCAAAATTGCTACGTGTGGAGAGCTACATAAATCAGAGAAATATAAAGGAACTTGAAACTTACTATCGGAAAATGATGATTTAATGAAATAATATTTGAAAATAACAGTATCTCATTGTTTAATAGAGATAAAATGGAATAATGAAATATAGAATTATAGTTCTACAAGCATAAATTATGAAAAATATTAAACAATAATAGGTATAAAATAGGTAGATACATATTTACCTATCAACATTTTAGGAATATTATCAAGATTACTAAGTATTAACCACTTCTTAATCAGAGACTCGCAGTGTTACAGAAAATTGTAACAATTTTTATCAAAAATGTGTAGGCAGGTATCTAATTGCGTAAGTTATCTGTACGTCCGTATATGTCTCAAACGATTGCGAATTTTTGGAATGTGATTTTCACTAGAAAAAAAAAGCTCTCCGTTGATTTTCGGTCGAATCGGTGTAAAAAAAAAAAAAGGTGCCTTAAGGCTGTTGCATGTATCATACAAACAACAGTTTACGTGTACTACATGTACATAGAATAGGAGCTTACGTTATTTCAGTACTTCGGTATAGATAGGTTAGGTTTATATTAATTTTCAATGTAAATTAAGCTTACCTATCTATGTAAAAGATTTTTTTTTAAACAATCCAATAATCATTAATTATGTAAAGGATCCGTTAGAAAATTGGGGGTGCTAGGTTCCCCAAAAATCAAAGTATTATACGGTGTAATCATTAATCAATAACGTAAGGCACTTATTATCTCGGAATTTTTTTTTTTTCTAAAACATTTAAGAAAAAAACAGTCCTAAAAATTTTACAATACCGATCATTTTTGTCACTTTTATTTTTAGGAGTGAAACAACTATCCACTTGATTTTCAAACAGCAATTCATATGAACAATTATAAAAATAGATGTCATTTTTGTTTAAATAAATTTCGGTATTGACATAATATTATGTTCCAAGATATTTGTGAGTTATTAGGGGAAAGTAGCAGACCATTATTCAAACTACTATTATACCAGGCGACTACATTCATTGTGCTCCACTACTACTCTACTCTTCTCCCACCAGGTTTAAAAGTGGATTATCTCACCGACGAGCTGACCAGAAAAAAATACCAACACCAAAATTTACTTAAACTGATTTTACTAGTGAAACGTTTACTGTGAGTTCCTACTTTAAAATCGTAAGTGTGTTGTGGTTTTGCCCCTTAAAATAACGTTCATGTTCAAAGCTACTTATTATTGTTTCTCAGATGTTGTGAAAAACAATAATTTCAAAAAGAGTTAATAATTTCCGAAATATAGTGTGTACCTATCTACCTATATTACGTTATGTTTGTCAACCTGTAGTAGACTCCCTACACGAAAAAAGTAACATTTTCGTGTTCTGGATGAAAATTCAAAATTTCGCAGACAAATATTTATAACATTTCTTTCGAAGTTTCTTGTCGACAAAACGAGTAGCCCATCTACCTGTCTACCGCTGGGTAGCACCTATCTATGTATTTCATTTTTCGTACGACTAGAAATTTAACTGTAACCATATTATTTTACCTGCCATTTGTTGGATTAAAAATACAAAGACGCATACACCAAACCAATGATATTATAATAATCTGTTATCGCCACCTGGATTTCCGCATTCGGTTAAAAATACAAGTGTAAAATTGCGAAATGACGATAAAATGTATCAACAATACATTTCCGTTGTAAACTTGTAACATTTTAGTATCTATATTCTGTACGTCTCGGTTTTACTACGCGGGTATATTATGCAGTTGAGATTAACCGTGTACGGGCAGGTACTCACGCCATTTTGCATAGGTACTGTTATCTACGTACTGTATTGTTAATACGGGCGTTCGAGTATTAAGTATAATATGCCGTACACGCCTCGTACACTAATCAAACACTTCATTCGTATAAAATTATAGGCGGCCTATCTATATCTGTACGTCAGTGTGTACATCACACGTCCAAGTAGGCAATAATATTATAAATTATATTATATTTGAACGATGCGTATAATAATACCTGTCTAAATCTCCTCTTGTAATTCCCCTAAACGAAGAACATAATAATAATAATGCAGATTGATTAATTAACGATTTTTTTGATTTATCCTCGTGCATGATGTCAATACGTATTATTACTACTGTATTACAGCACCTACGGTTATCATACGCCTACCTGCACTCAAACACACACACAAATTGACAAATATTGTCGTCGTACTCTCGAATCGTGATTTATCGGCTATCGCCTATCTACAATATAGATAATGCAAATGCATACAAGTTTAAAGTAACATTTTAAGTAAACTTCTATATACGAATAAGAGGATGTGTCTGTCTGTTTGTTTGTCTGTACGCAATACACAGCTGATTGCTGAGCCTAATGCACGCAGAAGTCTGATGGATGATAGAAATGTACGTACAAAAGCGAATAGACGGACCCGTATTATGCCCTCCCCCCCGAAGCCAGATTTCCGAAATTCTATCCATAAAAGGTGGCTGGCACAAAGTTTTTGATATTATTTGTAACGAGAATTGGATATTTTTCCGCCGTTGATTTTTGGGTTGGTTCAGGTCCAACTCGCCGACAACTCGTTTCGTCAACGCGGAAACTGATCTCCGGTAAAAATAGAAACAGTGTCAATTCGCCGACAAGTTGTTCACGAAATACAAAAATAATTTTTTAGACCAAAGCCAAACATTTTTGTTTCAATTAAAGAGCTTAGCCTCCCAAGTCCCCCAAAATGTTTTCAAATCACTCTATAAAGTTCACCCTTATATTTGTCAGGATATTCACTAATGTGAGGAAGTTGATTTAAAATATCAACCCCTCTCCCCCAAGTGTATACCTTAAATTCCAGCATCAAGCATTGGCCGGTGGATCCATAGATTTTAAAAACGACATATTCGTTAATGTATTAAATACATATAGATAGGTACGTAGGTCGTAGATAATTTAAACTAACATTAAAAGCAATTTAAGGTTAAGCGAACACGAATATTATATATTTTTAATATTTAATTAAAAAAGTCATATTAATAAAGTACAAAATCGATATTTCTTTTTTGAAGAAGATTGTTGTGTACATTCAAGTACTCAAATTCAATTAATGCAACTTCAATTAATAATTATATTTAATTTATGGTTATATCTCTTAAATAAATTGGTATAAGTGCCAAGATTCATTGTATACCGAATGTAACTAAATTACTAACCATGGTTATAAGAAGTGAAGTTTCAATCCTTTATTTAATTTGAGGCACATGTGCCTTACATTACCTTTTATTATTACTAGCTGTCCCGTGCCCGGCGTTACCCGTGTCAATTTATTTTATTTTTTTTTACCCATATTTATTTTGGTTTTTATCATATCAGAATTGAATGAAGACATTTAGGCAGGAAGTGGGTAGTCAACCTTCGGTGGACTAAAATTGTTTTATTGTGAAATTTTAATAGTTTAAATAATATGAATAGTTATAATTATAATAATTTTCTATCCGTGAGCCAAATTATCATCAGTATCACCAAGGTAACCCTTGAACAAACAAAAATAAATAAATAATCAATTAGATATTTGTACTAAATACGTCTAAAAACCCCTATTTTACCCACTTAGGGGTTAAGTTTTCCAAAATCCTTTTTTTAAGTGGACGCCTATGTCATAATAGCTATTTGTATGCCAAATTTCAGCCCGATCCGTCCAGTAGTTTGGGTTAGGCGATGATGAAACAGTCAGAACAAGTTATTCTATATTTATAGATAGATAATCGTTATATATCTATATAATATTAAAAACCAAAGGGGAGATGATCGCCCCTATCGCCCCCCCTAAAAACCGCCATTGGCGGGACAGCTTGTTAAAAATATGTGAATGTTTTGTTTTATTTTCGAAAAAACTTGATTAAACAACGTAGACCGGCCTCGAATTAAGGTTTTATAAGTAGTAAATCTTTTTTCATTTATCAAACTGTATACCTAAGTACCTTTATCTAATATAAAACAACGCAATCGATTGGTCTATAGATTATAAATAATTTTAGTTCACAAAAAAAATATAAGAATATACACTTTATTAAAGTTTTCTTGACATTCGTAGTTTATTTATTGACGGAGAGTTACAGTTTTCAGAAAATTAATTAAAGGCCAGTCACAATATTTCAATGTTGCCAATCTATAAAAAATCTTTTCTTTAAATTATTGTACGATTTATTCATAACTGTCCACCGATCTCTCTTAAAGTATCACAGTATCGTATTTTAGTATTTCATATTTTTCCATGACCGTATTTTCGCGATAATCGATAAGTATCTAATTCCAATACGGCTTTACATCAGTAAGTTATAGTGCTATACAAATTAAAAGTACTTTCAACTATTATGCTTTTCACTTTTTCTTGTTACCTACCTGACGTGGTTGGCACAACAAATCGAGGGTTATTTTTGATTAAAATTGTCCGAGTGAACGCAGCGAACGAGTGACCACCTTGGGTCTCTAGTTCCACCTATAATGCTTTTTCAATTTCCCCTGCTACTTACCCGACGTGGTTTTGCACAAGACCAGTTATCATCAGTGCCACATTTATGCAAGGACAAATGGGACATTTGCACTGGGCCCGCTCAAAAGATGTGCCCACTGACGTACAAAATTAATTGTATACTTGTTCATCATACTTTTGGAAAATAAACTTATGCCGATTAATTAACAAAGACGGGGTCTAAAAATGTAGGCACTATAATATAAATCAAGTTATTATTTTATTATATTGTGTATAAAAATAAAAATATTATTACAGTGAATGTAATAAATTTCACACGATATAAATAGGTACTACGAATAAGTCGATAATAATTATCTGAATAATTACTGATTGTAACTCAATGGAGTTCAATGGACAATTTATTTACAATAGTGCTCTTGTACAACTCCTTAATAGATTTTATACAGTATGTTAGTGAAAATTTTGATTACCATGAAAGTGAATCTATGAGACTTTTAATTAAGGACATTGAATATCAGAGTTTTTAAAAAAAAAGATGCCAAAAAGTAGACATTTAGATGATACTGATTCTGAAGAAAGAATATTAGATACAAAAGCAAAATTCATTAGTGATATTTATTATGTTATTTATAGCTTATTTATAGTTTATTTATTTTAAATTTATAGCTGAATTGAATAAACGAAAAATGGCATATATTGAATTAGAGGAAAAATTTGAATTTTTATTTAACAAAAATCTTGATAGAAATGAAATTAACAACCAAATTATACATTTACAACCAATGTATGCAAACGAACTAGATTTGAATTCCCATAATTTTGCAGATGAATGGTTTCAATTTCATAGTTTAATAATATCTTCTCATCAAGAAATCCCGCTGCCCAACTTAAATTCATTAAAGATATGCAAATTCATGCATTTCAAAATGTGGAAATGTGTCTTAAAATTGTTCTTTCAATGACAGTTACAAAGTGCTCTAGTGAACGATCATTTTTTTCATTGAAAAGAATAAAAAATAGATTACAATCTACATTGAGCAAATAAAATTTAAACGCCCTGGGAATATTATCAATTGAAAGTGATATCACAGCAAATCTGAGTTATGACGATATTATTGACTACTTTTCAGAGTAGAAAGCGAGGAAATGTTTGTGAACGCTGAAATCAAATTTAACTTAAACTATTGAACATAAAAACATTTAGTTTGATACAAGTGTAATAATCAAACATATTAAATGTTTTTTTAACGCTTGCTTTTTAATTTTTATGTATATTTAAATAAATATTAAACATTTATTAGACGTATTGAAAAAGTAAAGTGTTATTGTATATTAAATAAACCTGTTTTTAATAATATAATTTTATTCTATAATTCAACTACTTTTATGTAAACTACTAATTGCATACAACATTAATTTAAAAATATATTATGTGTACATATTATTTTAGCATTGAAGAAAATAGATATGGACAATTTGGGGCCAAAATTGTAAATTGTACAGGGCCCATGAATTGGTAAACCAGGCTCTGATTATCATGAATAGATAATTTGAAACAATATTTTTTTTACGTTGTTGGTGTAAATATATTATATATATACAGTATATTATGTATACTATATTTTTAATTCAACTTTTTTTTCTTAACGTTGATGTTCATGCAGACCGATATGGCTGCGATTTCTTATCATTTTTTCTGAAAACTGTATACTATTCATTTATTGATACTATTGCCCGGTTGCACCAAACTTGTCGTTATCCATTGGCCAATTTAGTATTAAATATTTATATGATGGTAAACCAACCGCTGTTTGTATATTAAAGTTTTAATATGTGTTAAATTTACGAGTGGTGCTCAATCATTGTTTTATATTCAGGTTATTACCAGAATACAGGTTAACGAATAAATAGTTTCACTGTACCGGCAGTTTAGAATCACGGTTTAAGATCTTAAACCGTGAGTAGAAGTAACGCAAAACATTGATTTTAACTATGCATACATTTTTACACGACTATTATTGGACCTGTAATATTTAATAACGAGACTGGTTACGAAAAAGTGTTTTATTATAAAAGTTATTCTACATTCAAATGCTCCCCTTCAATATACTCCCCTCCCCTCTCCACACACCGTTTCATTCGTTTCTTCCATTGCTCGTGGCAGTGCTGGAAGTCTGTTTTCGTAAGACCATTCAGGAATTCCGCCGATTTTTGTTTCAACTCTTCCATCGACTCAAACCGGATTCCTTTTAAGGCAGACTTTATCTTCGGAAACAAGTAAAAGTCGCAGGGTGCCAAGTCGGGTGAGTAAGACGCGTGTTCGAGTACTGGAGTGCCTTAAGCGGCCAAATAACGCTTCACGCTTTATCCTGGTGCAAGATCCACGACTTCTTTTTCCACAATATCGACGGTTTCTTACGAACTCATTCGCGCAATGTTGCCAAAACTGTCAAATAGTAATGTTGGTTCACAGTTTGACCCTCTGGAACCCATTCAGTCATTACGATGCCGTTGATATCGAAGAAAAAGGTTTTGAATTTGGATTACGACTGAATTGGATTCCGGTGCACTCTTGACCTTCAGAAAATAATTTATGCCACTCAAAAACACGCGCCCGAGATAGAAAATCCTCATGATAGGCCTCTTTTAACAACTTATAGCACTCAGTTGGAGTTTTTTTTTAGTTTAACGAGAACATTTTACGTTTATCCGTTGCTCATGTTTTTCGTTACACATGGTTTTCGGCATGAGAAAAAAACACGTTCGTTTCAAACCACTACTGCACAAATACTATAATAGTGACGAAAACGTGTTTTGGTACGTGCATAGATAAGATATCTAGATACCCAACGCATTACTTGTCTTTTTCACTACCCATCTAGGGCGCTCTCTAGGCGAGCAGTCTCGTTGTTTAATAGCCATACCTCGTAAACATGTAATATCTGCATAATATTTGAACTTCAAAAATCTATAATTTTGAAACTTAGTCAGTTCGCTCAATTCTGATTTCACCATCTTTCTTATTTCGGCAATACACATATATTCGAAAAAAAAAAAATTGAAGAATTAGATTTGTTCCACATAATTTTTTACTTAAATTTTACTCAATTTTCGTCTAAATTTAATATCAAAATTCCTTTATAAAAACAAATAATACATTAAACTAAATTTTTTTTCTACAAAATAAAACCTAATGAATCTCCTATTAAATTTTTAAGCATTTCTGTGGAGTCTAATAATTTTACCACAGAGTATCTATTGAATACAAATTACGTACAAAACTCGCAAAATTAAAATGTCTATAAATAGCTCAAAATGGCTTAAAATTTTTGAAAATTTCCCCGCGTCTAGAAAAGGCAAATATAAGTTTTCTGTCCAACTTTCAAAATCTCTACGAATATACTGAATTACAAAAAATAACAAAATTGATAAAATAATTAAAGCATTAATTTCGTATATCTCCCGTTTTTCATAAGTTTTATCCTGGTTTTTCACAGATATTATGAAAACCGCTTAGAAAATCAAAAAATGACCTCCTAAAAGTACCATCTAGACAATATCTCCTTTCAGAAATGGTGCCGCGCTTTTATATCTGAGCAAGAATTCTAGTCGAATTTTTGTACACAGTATAAAAAAAATTAAAAAAATAAAAATCTTAGTAAAACCAATATATTCTTCGCTCCACTCAGAATCTAAAAATAGTACAATTGTACGAGTATCTTTTTATTGCATCTGTCGTTCAATTACAAATGTTTTCGATTATGTTACATTGTAAAGTAACCAACCTAATTATAATATTTATATCTTATAATCAACAGTAATATCTAATATTGTAAAAAATAAATAAATTCTCCAATAATTTACGTTAGTATTAATCTTCAATGATATTAAATCGTTCGTAATCACTTCTGTTTTGTCCGTTTTCATCGCGTTGGGGAATCTTTGTTATCGGGTTCAATTAAAATCTCCGGGTTACTGTAGACTACGCTAAGAGAATTGTCACTGGGCTGAACACGGAAAACATTTTTTGAATATGTACATTTTGTTATATCCTTTGCAATGGAATCGATACTTATGCCCATCGATTTATTTACGATCAAATAGAAAGTACTTATAAAGTCCATAGCGTTGTCACAATTGAATGCCATGACCAAATCGAAACGATTGTGTCCGTTGGCAGTGTCAATATATTCTGTCTTGGACCATTTAGACAATTCTTCTTTCGCGTCTTCCGGAATACGTATAAGTTTGTCGATAGTACTTTCACAATCAGTAGTGATGTTTGTAAGATGTATACTTTCCAGTTTAGAAATAGTGGTTATTATATCGTTTACATTTTGATATTCTTCGGTATGGTCTTCGATAATGATGTTGGTATTGTCTTCGGTTGTGTTAATTATTACTTTCGGTAAAAAAAGGTATTTGTAAAACATTTTCGTCCCGGATGAGTGCCACAAAACACTATCTCGTATGCGTTTTAATACTGTCTCTTCAGCTCTACACTTGATGCTCTTTAAGTACAATATTATAACATACGCGTGTCGATATACGTGCATACTCATCATTGTGTTTAGGTGATTTACAATAGTGTGATGAAAAGCCAAGGCGGCATGTATGTTCGTCCTCCACGGAAATGTCAAATAGTACGCCTCTGATAAAGTCATTGTAACGCCTCGTACGATTATTTCTTTAAATTTTAATTCGTTCATGTCGTCGTTACTGTAATTTTCGGTAAGAAAATATTTACCGTTCAACCACTCGACCGTGGTCCATACGCCGACGGTTAGTCCTTTGTAAAATAGCTGGACGAGCTCAAAATTTTCTTTTATGAAATCATAGTTTGACTTAATACAGGTTTTTTTTACGAATTTATCCTTTATTGCTTGCTTATCGGTTATCATAAAGAAACTCCACGCCTGAATGTTTTTCACCGATTCCCTTTCACAAATCATATTGGCCTCGGATATAATGTCGTCTACGGCTATGCCGTAAAATAAATTCGAGCAGCGAAAATCAGTGTATTCTTTAAAGTCACTGCATATCGTCAAATACAAGCTCATCATATTCCAATACGAAATATTATACATTTTGTTATAATTTAAATATAAAATGATTAACGGAATGTACTTGCACATTTCATTTATCATTATCGATACCTCATGGTCCGTGATCGTCGTATCTTCTTTAGTTGCTTTCGAATCGTTATCATTAGAATATAATATAAAGTATTCGAGATTCTTGAGTACATACAACAATAATTTGTATATTACGTCAGCCGTTGAAGCAGAAGTATCAATATCTTGAATTTCACTACTTGACAAACCGCAACTATTTTTAAAATTGTCTATAAATATTTTAGTGAGATTCTTAAGCTTTTCATCGGCTATTTTGTCATTGTTAGATAATCTGAAATAGCGCATACTTACACCATTATGTTGCGACGAACAATCTTGAAAAATATTATAAAATAGGTTATTTGTACTTTGCACCATTGATGGGTTTTTACCGATAATACCGACGAGATTGAAAACGTTCGCAATAAATTCTTCATTGTGTCTTATGAACTCCTGATCTTCATGTAAATTAAAAAAGTCATTTTTAATTAACGTTTCCTGTTTTGCAGAATTTTGTAGTTTCGACAAATCTGTTTTTAAGGTTTCAATAAAACGATCCATAACGACACCGTCCGGGTACGCATTGATATTGCCATTAAAATACGGTGGCAATTTGTAACAAATAACAAAGTGCATTTTACTTAACAATATTATTTTCCTGTTTACCAAAGCATACGTATAGATATAATCCAAAAATCTCCATAATACCGAACAAACCTTTAAAACATAGCCCGGTAAATGAATATTTATGGTTGTTTTTTTAAAATAAAACAAATATGTTATCTGTTGTAATATTAAAATTAAATCGTTCTCAAAAGAGATCAATTCTTCAGGTACACCATAGAAATAATCAGTATGTTCAATCATAGTGTCTTCAATAATTGCAGATATTAATCCGTGTTTATTTTGAAAATCGACCACAACATTTTTAAACGTATCTTCGTTAGATACTACTATACGATTTACATGTGATAGTGCCATAATCGTATAAAGAAACACGTTTAAAATGTTAAAGACGTTAAAGTACATAGTACACTGGTGCTATAAGAATAGGAGAGGTTATAATTTTATAGGTGTTCTACTGAGATACTGTTGCCATTTATATGTAACCGTTGCATTGGCATGATAGGTACTATGTAATCGAACATTGTTCGGAACATTTGATCAAATAGATTATATCGTTTTAAGTGTGCGTTCTTTCGGTTGATAATATACAAAATAAAGGAACGCAAATATTTAATTCTTTTGACAGTCTATTCGTTTACAATATAATATCACTACTATCATTCGTTACAATCTACCAGGACTAGAAAACGTTAATAGTAGTAAACAAATATTGAAATTAGAAAACGAACTAAACGGAAAACGATCACCGAAAATAATTGAACATAATATTGCTGGTGACGAGTAAGGTCACTTTTGTAGGTGGGTAATTGGGAAGGTGGGATACATAAAGATATTTAATTTATAACTGTAACCAAATATAAACAATTGCTAACGAAAACCGATTCGGAGCAAAGTTCGGTTATACACCATATTTTGAAAGCCCGTAATATATACGATTTTCGTCATCGTTTGATTTTAAAACGCTTATGAGAAAAATTCAAGCATTTCAGTTTAGTTTAATAATTTTGTCCACAGATAGTACTTATTAAATTAAAATTACGCGAGAAAACTCGCAAAATTAAATTATGTCTTAATAGCTCAAAAATGGCTGAAATGATTTGAAAATTTTACCACGTCTAAAAAAAACATTTATAAGTTTTTCGTCTAAATTTTAAGTCTCCACAAATATATTTAACTGAATTATCTACATTAAAAAAAGACGGGCATGCACTTCGCACGCGGATGGGCCACTATTGTAGACGAGAATTCGGGAAGGTAGAGGGGAAATTTTAATGTATACCTGTACGCAACGCTTAACTCTTACTAACGAAAAACGATTCTGAGCGGAGTTCGGTCAATAGTGTTGCTTTGTCAACAGTATATACATGCCAAATTGCGGTAAAATAATTGCGTATGCATTATATATTTTCCTAAATAATATTTGTTTAATATTGTACCAATTTTCCGTTTTTCACATTTATTGGGAAAATCAAAAAAAGACCCCCCCCCCTCAACTAGATGACATTAGCTTTCCGAAAAAATACTGTACCATACTCTATACATCGCGGAGCAAGATTTCTTACCGAAAAGTCGTATGCGGATAGAAAAAAAAACAAAAATCAAACACGCACATCGCGGTAGAACGTCCCGGAGCCCCGTCGCCGCGCTCCGAATCCGAAATCCAAACCGAACGAATCGCCGAGTGACGTTTTCGTCACTCCTAACCGCGGCGCGCTCTCGGCCTTCGACGTTTTCTTCACCTCGCGCTTCTTCTCCGGCGCGGGCGCTCGCCGCGGCTCTACCGGCCGGCCGCCCGCCTTTCCGGACGGCGCAACGCGATCCGTACAATAACAACAACAGCGCCGCGGACGTCGTTGATTTGCATACGTCCATCCGTAACGTCCGCGCGCGGCGAACCGTACGAGCCGTTATCACGCGACGGCGGCGGCGACGATAACATAACAACGATAATAACAAAAAGAACGCCGTGCGGCGTACGGCGGGTTCGCGTGTTACGGTGCACCCGTTACGATGTTGCTACTACGCGGCGCGCGCCGTTATCGGGGACATCGTAACCGCGGTTCTCTTCGCCGCCGCGGTCGCCGGCGACCGCGACCGCGACTGCGACGCGTACGCCGTGCCCGTGCATATCGGCGAGTGTCAGCAGTTCGTTATTGGCCAGTCGCCCGGCAGACCGCAGACCGCGCACGCACAATGCTGCGGATCAAAAACCCGTAATACGATATTACGCGTAACAACAGCAATAACAATAATAACAATAATAATAATAATAATAATAATATTATTACCGTAATAAAACGCCGTTGTCGTCGTCGTCGTCGTCGTCGTCCCGCCGGTGCGCGCGACACCCGGTTCCGTCCGAACGTTATTTCCGTAACGCGTTTCAACACCGTATTGTTATTACCCATTACTATACGGGCGCCCCGACGTCACTGCGCGCGCAACGACAATAGTAACAACAATAATAATAATAATAATAATAATAATAGTAATTGTAATAATTGTTAATAATAGGTACGTATACCGTTTGAGAAAAAAAAAAAACAAATAACAACAACGTACGCCGACGACAATAATTATTCGATTATTATCATTATCGACCATCGCCGGCCCCTGTCATCGGCGCCCCGATTTCGCCGATTTTCGCGTGCCTGTTTCCGGGGAATCGATACGTTTTTCTACCGACCGGCGGGAAACCGTACGATATAATTGAGAAAAAAAAATAATAATAATAATAAAACCCGACCGAGCGCACGGTTTTTTAAATTTTTCTTATTTCTTTTTTCTTTTTCTATCGTCCGCAAGCATGTCGCGCGGCTCCCGCAAAACGGCGCGCGCGTTTCTGTGCTGGGCAACGGCGTTCGCGATTTCCGCGACGTTCCGTTCCGCGTGCTCCGCCGAACCGATGGACAACTGCTGGCGCAAAGTGTGGTCGTTGACGCCACCGTGCACGGAACTGAACGACGGCGACGGCAACGGGAGGCTTTGCATATCCAATTCGAGAGTGAGTAAACCCGACGGGGGACAATTTTTTTTCACCGCTCGAACCGCGAGTACCGATCGGAATGCGCATTGAATGTAATAAATTACACGGTCATATTTTATATAAGTACCAGGCGCACAACTAATGAAAAAAATTGAGAAAAAAAAAAAAGCTGTCCTAGGACAAGTGGTACGGGTGCAGTCACTGTTGTATGTAATTCAATGTATATCTGTACGCAACGATCAACCGTCGCTAACGAAAAAACGATTCTGAGCGGAGTCGTTCGGTTGATAGTGTGGCTCTGTTGACAATATAATGTATACGTATAGGCGTGTCGTATTATGGTAAAATAATTATACAAGTCTATGCATTGTATATGTTCCTTAAATATTTATATATTTATATTTAAATATATTTTCTTTATTTATTGGGAAAGCTCCTGGGAAAATCAAAAAATTTACCTCCCTAAAGTAACTACCCGGTCAGATATCCTTTCAGAAAAAGTGCCGTCATTGAAAATCTGAGCGAAATTGCTGGTAGAAACAAATAAAATAATACATATCGTTGTAAAACCAAGGCATTCCTCGCTCCACTCAGAATCTAAAATAATAATGTATTTAAATTATAATTGCCGCAAAGATTACAATAGTATTACATCGGTATACGAGACTCGGGAAATTTTTATTAAGTAGGTATTGATGTCTCATCAACGGTGTACGACGACCAATTATAACAACGCCGGGATCAAAACGGTTTTGACGCAAATATTATTAAAACGAGGTGGCCTGTTATACTCTTGATGCACATTCACCTAACGGTCAGCGGCCGAATAACAGAATGGTTTAGCTTAGATTTAATCGCGATTTTAAATCGCGTTTTTGTCTGACCGGGACTGTCCGATTCGTTTAAATAGGAACTCGTTACGATTATCGTTTGTGCCCCGGGGCAATCGAATTATAATAGATTTGATATTTTGTTATCGTTGTTATTACATGGTTAGACAAATGGCCAACAATTAAATATAGTTTTCCAAGAAGATAAAAATAAAAAAACAATAATAAATCCAGACCATTTATCTACATTGTTCGTTTCTTTCCATAACCGAAATGAGGAATTGTCACCTACAGCATGTGTGTGTAGGGTTTTGTTTTCCGTTTTTTTTTTCGGGTGAGGGGGGGGGGGTTAAGTTGCGAAATTGTTTAAAACGGTAATTTTTGGTCTGTAAATAATCATAAACCAGATATCATAATGGTTTAAATACATTTAAAATGTATTTACTCGTAAGTTTCACGTTACAGATTTTAAAATCCGACGCACCACGAATGGGCCACGGTGGTTAGGGGGACGTGTTGAACGTGGGTCGGGAATTCAATTTATATCTATGATGTTTCGTATATGCTTCGATTAATCATTGTTGACGAAAAACCATCATTCTAAGTAAATTTCAATGATTTGTATTACTATACTTATGATTAATTATAATTGTTATTATTCTTTAAGTTTTGAGTACCGGTTTTTAATTGAGCCAAATAAGTTTTATCTATATACATCAGGAAATAGTTACTCGAAATGTCATGATATTTAAGATTTTCATCAAAATGCATATACTTAAAACGGTTATAAAAAAAACCTATTACATTACGTTTAACTTTTCAATTTTTACTATTAATTCCACTCATGTCAAATTGTTTAGTATATTTGCTGGGCTAAAAAAAAAATGTATTCACATAAAAGTCGAATAGTTAGTAAATAATTCAAAAAATGCCAGAATATTTTGAAAATTGTACTACGCCTTAAAAGTTTAGTTCAGTATTCCGTGAAAGGTATAGATTTCTATGATTATGTTTAACCATCATGAATTATAATTAGAGTTTTTTTTAAGGTGATTGTATGTGAGTTTGCACGGCTTTTAATGTTTTATATTTGTTAGCACTTATTTTAGATTTTAAATGGAACGAGGAATGTATTGGTTTTACAATGATGTTTATTATTATTTTTTTTTTATGTAAACACTTTCTCTACTAGAAATCATACTCCGATTATCAAGTATAGCACCTTTTCTGAAAGGAAATTTTCTCTGGTTGGTACTTAGAAGAGGTCATTTTTGAAATTCTCATTAATATTTGAGATAATGAGGAAAACCTTAATCTTCAGGTTAAAAAAGATTGAAAGTAAATAAAATAAGGCTGTCATTAGCAACCGTTTTTATTGATTTTTTTATTATTTTAATCTTTTTTAAACAATCATTGAAACGCACATTGTTTTAGTTATTTTATCATAATATGACATAACACCATGTACTGTATTGTTGACAAAGCAACATGATCAACTTAACTCGTTTCAGAATCGTTTTTTGTTAGTAATGGTTAACCGTTGCGTTTACAGATATACATTAAATTTCCCCTCTACCTTCCCAACTAAACATTAATAACAGTGGCCTCACGTATCTACGCACCCACGTGCGAAGTATGTCCATCTTTTTTTATTATAATTCTGTTAGAAAATAATTGTAGAGATCTGAAATTTTTTATAGAATATCGAGTAGAGTATACTTACATGTACGTCGTGCAATTATCAAAATATTTTATTCATTTTTCAGCTACTTATAGACATTTTATATATTTTTGTGATTTTTTTTAGTTTAATTTGATTTTATGCGTATATATTCAACAATTGTTTTGTATGTACATAAATGTTTGAAAATTTACATGATGTTCAACAGTTGTAGATACTTAACAGTAAAAAAAAAAAATTGAGAATAGTTATAATTCTTTTTATAAGTGTTTAAAGTTCATATTTTGACAAAACCCGTAAAAATAATGTAGCAGTTCGTTTATTATTTATCTATTTAAGTGAATAGATTATTTTGCTTGAAAAATTGATTGAAAATTTAACACGAAGCTAATCACAAGTTGTACTTGTTCGGGAGAAGAAATAGAGCGACAAAATGATTCTATTTCAAAACATGTTTAACCGAACTTCGCACAGAATCGTACTTCATTAGCAATTATTGCATACAGATGAAAAATTAAATAACACATATGCCGTATTCCATCTACACATATATACTTACAGCAGTAACACACCACATTTGAAATCTTCATGGTTTCAATTGATTTTCTGTCGACAAAATTGTTTTGGTCGAGCAAAAAAAGCTTACACATTTAACACAATAGGTTAACCTTAAGTTGTATTTAATGGAAAAAATAAAGTTGAATGTAATGTAAGAGTTCTTTTTATTAGACTTTTTAAGTTCAAATTTGGACGAAAACCGTTAAACTCACGGAATCTTAAAACACGTTCATCTGGACTTGAACTTTAGTACAAAATCGTTTTTCATTAGCAAAGATTTATCGTTGCGTACAGATATAAATTTAAAATGCATTCTACCTTTCCAACTCCCCACTTATACCAGTGGCACATCCGTTAGCATTATTAACTCTTTTTAAAATAATTATTTTGTGTGTAGTAATGAATAATACTCGCGCTCAGGCTAACTATAAATAGACTTCTAAGACTACTTAGTTTATTTAGAATACTTAATAATTCATGAATAACACATCTATTATTATTAATCATTTTAGTATTTAAGTGTTTCGTAGCTGCGGTCGCGTGGAAATTATAGTTTTATGTAGACCAATAATATTAGTTATAGGTTTTATCGGTACTTATAAATTTGGTTCTTTTATTCGACATTGATATTTGAACCTATTTCGATATCCTAAAAAACAAAAAAACAAAAACAAACCATACGCAAATAATAAAGCTAACAATGTCGATTTTCAATCACGTTGCATATTGGCTTTAGCATATTATCATATTATGATGTCGGAGTATCGGAATAAAGCTATCGAACCAATAAATCAATCGATGGTTTATATATTGAAAACGGTTAAAATAAATTAATACAATAGTACTTATTGGACAAAATTAAGAAGGAGTAGACAGCATATATGGCGATATATAGGATATATATGGATAGGCGTATCCGTGATTTCTATTGCCCAAATCGTTACCTATAGTAATAGAGCGGACGAATACAACGAAACGTGTTTGATAGTCGATCGGAAGGAGGAAATTCAATTATTGATTGTATATTAAATCGCGTTTCCGACGTAGACAATATTGTCGAGTCTGCAATGCGGCAATCACGGACTGATCGTAATAACTAATTGTATAATAATATGATTTAATATCGTCGTATTTACAGATTATTTGTACGTAACTCAGAAAATTTTTCTGTTCGAATACGACCGCGTATATCACTATATCCCCCCTCCGTGTATTACCTGGGTATTACACGTTATTGAATTTCATAATTTTTCTAATTCTCTCGTACTCTATACGAGTTCTTATACTTTGCGGTTTTTTTTTTTAATTTTTTCAATTATACAAATGTTAAAGCGATAGAATTCCAATAGGCAGCTTTATTCGAGCAAATACAAACATTTTTTTTTTCTCAAATATAGGCAATAACGTAAAATACCAGTATTTTCATATTATTTTGTCGATGATAATTGAACAGAAATTATTGATCGTTATGACTTTATTATGATATCGCCTTTGTAGTTATAGGAATATCTATAACAATCGTTTTTCAAATAAAAACCGATCGGTATTTTCAATCGTAATTAACTTTTTAATTATTATTTATTTTTTTATTTTTTCGTATTTAAAAATATTATAATATGCGATCATATATAACTATTCCGTTTTGTTTGTGTTGAATCGTTACGTTTAATGACAATATTCATAATTGTAATAACTGCAGTTCAGAATCTAGGTTTAATTACAATGGACTTTTATTAATAGTTTATTATTTATTTGATATACGCTTCAATATCACTATTACTATTATTTCATATTAACCGTTGATAATCAAAATGCGGACGGGACATGTGGATTTGTGGACTTATCAGCGAGACCGTATAAACTTGGAGTTAGGTCACCCGTAGTTTTCGTATACCTACCTAATAATGTGAACTATGGTCATTGGTCCCGCTCGTTTATACAAAAAATGTAAACAAACGACGTGACACTTGTTATCAGTTCAGGAAAATATAGCGGCCCAAGTGTTGATGGTGTTCCATCCGATTTTTTTTTTTATTAATCAGTTCGAAAGTGAACACAATAATAATGTCATACCGTATTTATAATAATATACCGTAAGAATTTGTACTTAGATATACGTCATTATTATTTTGTCAAGTGTTTTTTTTTTTTTTATTTCGTACTACATAAATAGTTAATACGGCGATTCGTTTGTATACGATTACATACTATCGATATTTAAATAAATTTTAATCGTGTACACATGGCTACAACACGCCTACATGTAATATTTCAACTCGTGTTAATTTTCTGATACGCAGTAATACGTGGTATCTGAATTATTTAACGTGGTTCCATTGTAGGGAATTCATTGCATTGCGTTTGATATTAAAATAACAACGTGATTTTAAGAGGATGCTATACCCGCATTATTACCGCAGTTTTGGTCTGACTATAATGGGTAAAATTACGTTACTTGTTAGAACACGAATTGTGACGCGTTTTGATTGAAACATAGATATACAACGAAAATTAAAAAAAACAGACTAGTTTTTAAACCAATATAATGGTTGTACCTTTTTTATGTAACAATATTTTAAGAGAAAAGAAACGTACTGCATTTGAACACACTTTTCTCTTTACATTTTGTTATTTGTGTTAAAACTTTAGTTATTCCGGGACAGTAAATGCGAATATAGCATTCTTTTAAATGTGTGAAATTTATAAAATACAGAAAGTCTAAAATTTAAATTTCTCACTAAATTGTAGATTCGATTTAGGGAATTTCGTTTTACTAGTGTGAAAAAAACATGTTCTTAATAACCCTATTAACCCTACTCATAATTTTCATCTATTCTGTACTGTTTTTTTGAAAAACATTTTAGGCATTTCTTCGTTAGGTTATGAAGGTTAAGTAGGTTAGGAATATTTTAATAGTCATTCGGAATAGACAAGACCGGGCATTTACTCCCTAGAAATTTAGAAAAACATAAAAAATGATAAGTGATTGTAAGAAACCATTATACCTAAGACTAGGTGTATACCTAAGACCCATGTCAAAAAATGTTATATTTTTAGACTATGCATTTTTACATTATAGAACTGTCTACGATAAAGTCTATCATAATATTATTATTTTATTGCGTGATTAGGGAGTATGTATTTGTGTTTCATTGCGAATAAAATAAGTCGCTAGTCAGTGAAGTTGTTAGTTGAATCTGTCTGTTTCGATTATCATTATTTTATGTTACAGTAGAATCCACTTATTGCAATGCTGTGTATAACGATATTCCGGATAAAACGATTCCCAACCATATATTTGGTTGGTTTTATATATTACATGCAGTAATTTTGTTTGTATAAAATGATATCATTTACAACGATTATTTGGATATAACGATGGTATTTGAAATTTAAATTGATTTTTTTATTTGCCTATAACAATAAATTGGTCTGGTGTGATTATTCGTTATCTTATCTATAAAACATAATATCGTAGTATGTGCAACAATATGTGTTTCACTATTTCAGTCACTGTTTTGATTTTTATTCATCATTGTTTTTCTATCGCTGAATATTTTATTATTACAAAACTTACTCCAAAAACCACCAAGATACAAAACTGTAAACATTGAATTCTATATTCAATATTTTCATTTACATAGCATGCAATTAAGTGGTTGGAAGGCGAAGTAGTTTTTGTATTATTTATATAACAAAAACTAATACAATGACCTAAAGTTGTATTTTTCTGGAAAATTATTTTGAACCTTTCGATAAGGAGTGGAAACGACACACTTTCAGTGACCCTTCAAATCGTAAAAAAAAAAAATATAAAACAAACATTTACTACGAAAATTACAGTTACACGTTGTTCAGCTGCGGTAACTCTAACTAAAAGATCAGACTAAACTAGTATTTATATTCTAGCGATTTGTTTCACGTTTATGAAACTCGTTTTCTGAAATCTCAGAACATGCCTACTTGATGGAAATTAATTTATATAATATAATATACATGATAGGATTTTACAACAGGTTTTAGAAAAAGATTGGTGTGATTAGAAAAAAACGAATTCTTAAAAATATTAGATTTTAAAACTAGTTTTCACAAATAAATTAACATTTTAATATATATCTATTTAGTATTTTATACAGTATATAATATACGAATATTTTATATAGATATATAGTTTTAAACCTACTTAGTAATCAAGTTAATAAATATTTACATTCTATCGTTTTGTGGGTAAAAAAGGTATAGGAAATATTAAACAACTATAATACCTATTATCTAACTCGATTCTAAATATGTGTTTATGTATAAAAAGAAAACATATCTATAATACGAATAATTTAAAAAGTTTGGTAAACTGTTAAGTAATTAGTCGGTTTATTCCCCTCGTAAAGGTTACCCGAAAATGAACAAATATAAACCAATGTATCGGTATATTTTTGGTCAGTTCTTTGAATTATTTAAAAAGAACTGTAGAGGATTTAGAAATTCTTTTCTAATAAAATAACATCGAGGGAAAAATTCATATCTTTTAAGGTACGGTGTGATAATTTGATGCATTTTTATTGACTGTTTTCGATTTTACTGGTTGTAATCAATTTGTACAAAACTGACATAAAATGTATACAACATGTGTAATTTGCGTCAACATTTCTAAAATGTGTCTATAATTTGGACTATCTCGAGTAATAAAAAATATGAATTGCATAATTTGCACTAAAATTCAAATCGATTATTCCATCGATGAGAAGCTAAAAACCTAGAATTCCATTTTAGATTTTGAGTGGTTATTTCATTAAGTAACCGTTTTACGGCACGTCAGTATTGACCTTAAAGCTACCCAATATCAATAATATAGTAGTATGAAGAACATATATAGGTATAATTGAACATCTACTTGTTTATCGGATGCATAGATAGTTATTTTAATGCAAATTATAAATCCTTATTTTAATGTAAACTATTAACTCCTTTGTTACTAACCAAAATGTGTTTTCTGAGAAAAAAAAATACATAGATATACGATACAAATATACATACACTAAAAGCGTCAAACTTTCGAAACCAAGAAAAACGTCGCAGCAAAGTTTTTCGCGTTCAGTGTGGATCGGATTTTGATAAAACCATATGCGTGGCCAGATCTTTGTCACGTGTCGTGCACAAGTTAAATGTGTTGTTTTATTAACGGATTGTAGTGATAAAAGTCTAGTTGAAGTTAAATAGAAAAGTAATATTAATAATGAAAATAATATATTTATTTCATCATATAACCAAAAAAAAAGTATTTAATTTATTTAAAAGTTTAGTCAAATTTTGCAGGTTGTACCTGCACATGGTAGACACAGCCTATAGGTAAAACTAATAACTTCTTCGCTACACTTATAGGTAGTAGGACAAAAAGGAATTTATTAAAAAAAAAACTGGAATAAGACGAAAAACATAACGGATAAAATACCCGGTCAATCGTTTCTATGAAATACTGGTTTTATTATCAGTTGGGATCATTTAATAAGAAGAAAACAAAATAATAACAAATTATTAACTTCGTTTATAAATCTATAGCAGTACGAGAAAACTGTATAATTATTAATAGTAGTTTTATAAATATTTCGTTTCATCATTTAAATGTGAAATTTTATAATAATTCGTTATTTATCAAGTTCGACCGACAAATAAATTACATTAATCCAAGCTACGCTAGGAAGCCTACGCTAAAATGTTAGTTTTTCAATTAAATTAGATTACTTTAATTGCTTGGATATTATTGAAAGTTCCGACTATAAAATATCGAAAAGGGCAGTGTTCTATGCTCAATAAATAAATGTTTATGTATTTCTTTTTTTACAAATTAGACCCTTTCTTATTGCATTACATAATATAATGTTTCACTGCCAAGTCATATCAACTTATTCAGATTATAATACTAGTTGTAGAGTGAATAACATATCAATATTAATGGAAATAACAGTTAATATTGTCGTATTTTCGTTAGAAAAAAAAAAATATGTGCCATTGATGTAGATTTTATATTATCCTGCAGTATACATAGCATAATTACCTTGACTTACCTTACCTTACCGTTGTGTTACCTTTTTGTATAGGAACTAGTATGTTAAGGGACAATTTGATTTGGCGATCGTAATTCAACGTCAGCGTTGTAGTGAATGAGAGGTGTTTTAGCAAGATTCCCCAAAAAAATGTATTATTATTACACGTCCTTACGCCACTTTTAAAATATAAATAAATTCAGTAATATACAAACAAAAAACACGACTATTACTACTCTACTCAGAATAGTTTTTTGTCTGTATAACTCAATGACCCTGTATATTCTATCTTCTCAACCACTCACCTATCACAGTGAGCAGTATCGACTGTTTTATTATTTGATTCTGTAATTTTGGGTGTGGACATGATAATATTATTATGCAGTTACGGTTTTTCTATATAGTTAATATTATTATTATTTCTAATTCAATCTATTCGACACTTGGCAGTTTGATGGCTTAAGACAAATTTGTACATGTATACAGGTAGCGTGTATAACTCGCAGGATAGTGAATTTTTTTTTTTAACGACGAGATTAACTCGTATAGGTGCAGTTTTAGAATATGCAAATACATTAAATAGAACTGGTAAGGTAAGGTATATTAGAGTTTTATGTTTAAGTATATATATATACATATATATGTTTGAGAACGAGTTCCGTTTTATTATTTTTTTTTTCGACTGGCGTTTTTGTCTGGAAATTATTCTAGTGCTGGTTGATATTAAGTTAAAAACGTTCACGTGTTAAAAAATGTGCCTATTTCTCGTAGTATCTAATCACGATGTAGTATAAGAATGCAGTATAGTTTGCAGTATAGTCGGTGCCAACTGGAAACCGGTTTTTTTATTCATTTTTTTTATTATATCTTCTTATAATAGTAGATGAGTTTTGAAATATTACATTTATCATCTAAAATATTGAGTTGAATATTCTTGCAGTTAGCTGCTTCATTCATAATCGATGAATCGTAATTATTTATGTTTGGTACTATTATATTATTTCGTGTACCTATAATTATTATTCATTTTCGTTTCTATTATATTTGATTTTATGCCGCGTCTCAGTTGGTATCCTACCGTTTTGAATAGTTACATACGAATAGATTTTTTATTGTTCGACTACTGTGAATTATAATTTTGCTTTTTTTGTCCTTTACTTATAGGTGGTTATATTTCTTACAGATATACAGGATCGAAGCATTATTGTTATATTTTTTTTTTTTTATTTTTGTTATATAGTCACGTAAAGTATATTATAAATAATTTTAACATATTGTGGCAATATTGTTTTTTTAAATAATTAAACTAAAATGTATAAAATATTTACTATATAGGTACGGTTTTGCTCGTACCTACCTACGTAGTGTATTGAACGAAAAATAATAATAAAATCAAGTCTCCTTGCGGAAACAGTTGCTTGTAATAATAATAAAGAAAAAAAAATCGTTTACTGCTGATGGGTATGCCACTGTTTTAGGAGGGAACACACACACACACATACATACAAACGTAATATAATAAAACTGATACATTACTCGCTCTGGTTAGAATATAAAAATATTAAGTTTTTTCCATGTAACCTGCAATGGATACACAAAATAAATAAAAACGTACTATTTTTTGATTTACGTGAATATAACTTTTTGGCGAAACTAAAATGCAGTATTAGCTCTTATCTTATTGTTATTTAGTAAAGTTGTTTACTGATAGATATTCATACAGCATTTAAAATTTAGTTTACAAAGCTATCATAATATTTTAAGAAGTTAAGTAATAAATAAAGCATAATTTGGAATAAGCATAGCATAATTATGTTTGGTTTCAAAGCGATTCATTTGCAAACTACCAAGAATATGTCATATGGGCATTCTTATTTAAGATTCATTAGGGTGACACGAAATTGTTATTGTTTATGAATTTATGATTTGTCATCTTTGGGTAGGTATTTAAAGATTTATAATTTTAAGTTATTATAAATGTTATAGTAAAAGTACGAACACCGTTAAATCATAATATAATAGAATAAATAAAATAGTTTAGTTCAACTCCGAAATTCGAATTATAGTAATTGTAGTTTACAAATAAGGTACGACAAATCTTAAGATAAACGACTTATTTCAGTAAAAAAACACATCATAGTAAAACCAATACATTCCTGGCTATAAAAAAAAAAAATGCTTGGCTGTTAACAAATTTTACACCAGAATTATTGCTATGATTATTAACTTCAAGGGTGTTCTTTGGTGGAAAATGTTGTCTAATATCATATACGCAATGACGGTTTCTGTTATTTTCGATTTGGATTATTGTTATAATTTAGTTAGAAATAACTATAGAGACCAACAATTTTTCCCGAATATTGATATGTAATACATATTGGTCATTTTTTAGATATACAGTTAAAATGATTTGTTTTAACTCAGCAATATTGAAAATCATAATCATAGTACCTAATACAAACTTAGAGTTTCAATATCAATATGTTTGTAATTTATTTCTTGCTATCAACTACATACCTACGTAATCCGATGTTCAATATATACGAACTGTTGCACTATGAACTGTATGCATAATACCATATAACTTGTTATTTTTAGATAATAAGGGTACCTAAATAGTTTCTTATTAATCGTTTGAGCAATTTTTTTTTTATTATTCGCTAAAATTATAATTATATCAAACTTTTTGATAGTAAATTGATTTAGTGGAAGTATGAATAACTTTTATCATACTTGATTGATTTATTAATAGTTTATACTAATGTTTAGTCAAGGTCAAAGAAATTTTCTCTTAATTTGTATTAAAGTCAAAATGAATGAATATTTCTATTGTCTATTTTTTAGAATTATCAACTATCATGCATGCACAAATAATATAAATAATACATAATTATTTATTATTATAGACAAAATAATCATAAAAATGAGATGATATTGCCGATGGGCGTGCCACTGTTCCAAAAGGGGGGGGGGAAGGTGAGATATATAGATTCAATTAATTTATATTTTTATACAACTAAATCTAAACCATCGATTAAAAAAAAAAAAAAACGATTCGAAAACGAAGTGATTTTTACGATTTTCATTAAAGTTTGAACTCTAAACGCTTATTAAAAAAAGTATAACTTTACTACAATCAATTTTTTTTCTTTTACCGGTAGTTAACATTTTTAATGAACCAGGAATCTCTTCTTAAATTTTCGATTATTTTTACTGGGCAAACAAATGTATTGTTGTAACATCATGTAACAAATGTACAAACCAACGAGAACTAAAAACATTCGGAACATTTCAAATAGCTATAAATAGTTTAAAAAATCAACAGAATGTTTTGAACATTTTACCACGTCTAGAAATATAATATGTATCTAGCAGCCATTTTAACTGAATTACAATAATAATAATATTCATAATAAAATCAAATATAACAGAATTCGTTAATGCTTAAATTTGTCTTCCGATTTTGATGTTTTGTCCAATTATTCAGAAAAAAAAAAATGAGAAAAATTATAAAATGATCACTTGATTGGCATTTGAAAATCGGAGCAAGATTTCGAGTAGAATTGTGTTTCTCAGATACATCGTTAGTAAAATCAACATTTCTCGCTACTGGGGCTGATCCAGAGCTTAATGTTGGTGGGGCAAAAGTGCAAATATAGTACTAAAAATAGTAAATTAAAAGACTTCATGAACCAAAACACACTACTTCACTACGGTGTATAAGAAAAGAGGCAAATGACTCTGTTGCCATTCCTGGATCCACCGCTGTCTCGCTATGAATCTAAAAAACGGAAATTTCAACTTTTACAATCATTAATTATTAGGTACTCTATGATAATATTTCGTTCTGTACAAATTCGAACAACAGTAATAATCGTTCGGAGTTTAACCGAAATATGTTTTATCCCATATAGATACTAAACCCTACGTTTTATTTCGTCAAAACCCTGAATTATTTTTAGTAGTTTGTCTTTTATACACTTTATAATGTATGACCCGTACGCTCATAAAAACAGTATCATTCCACTATTAGTGACTATTAAAGTCCCTTTCAAAATATATGAATGATTACAGTGGTTATATTTACTAAAATTATAAGTCGCCCGATTTAGTAGATAGACAATAATAATTATTATCTTAGGTACCTTATTATAAACCGGGCCATACGCTTTATGTATAGTGCAATTAATATGTTATGTCGTCGATGGAATGTTTTGAAAATTTATATTATAATATTTGAATTACATTACATTTTCGACGTATATACATTTAAAATGGTACGTTTTATGATTACTTTAATTATTATTGCTGTTGATATAATAATACAACAATTAATATTACTATCAGAACTCGGAGTTCAATGTTTAATTACAATTTATAATATTTCATTTTATTTTTTTTTTTTTTTTTCGCTATCGTATGATTTAGCGTGTTGTTGTAGTGTATGTTGTGTGTATTTAATCTCAAGCGATTAAAATATAAATATTTTAATTTCGACAATGTCCATGTATTATTCAATAAAAATGCATAGAAAATACGCTTTAATGTACAATAATATAAGTAGGTACCTAAAGAACTTTTTTTTTTTTTTTATATACAGATTCTAGAAGTCACGTAGCCAGGAGTTTTTAATGGAGAGGAGGAGGTGGACGAACTCACAATTATTATTATACGTTAGCATTAATTCCCGTTAATTACATTTGAAATTATACTACTTTATTAATGAAAATTAATACTAGGTCGTAGTGAGTTTATCAAACAAAACACCTAACGTCTATTAAATAGCGTGTCATCAATTCTCAAAATAATTAAAAATTTAAGACTGAAAGTTTTTGACGGTTTTGTCTGAACTTTAAAAATATAATATTTACGGTTATGTACGGTTTCTATAGGAGGGACATGGACCTTTTGATCACTTCTTCCCGTCGTTATGCCGTTGAATACTTGTGACTACGAAAATACATTTTATTTTTGCAGTCGGCATTATGATTATTATTGTTATCATAGAAATGTAGAGAAAAAAGTATAACATTATCGTAAGTGTATAAACAACTGTAAAATATTGGAAAAAAAGTAAAAATTAATAATGAAGTAATAGCTAACTTGATTATAGATTAATGCCCAATATACAGGATAATCATTAACAATATGAAATATAGTTTGAACTGGGTATTTTGGGAGCAATTAGTAAACGTTTCTCATCATGTCTCTTGATAACGATTAAGAAACCGATCGGCTAAAGTATGTAGACCGGGGATCCACTTCCGAGGAAGTGCTTGAATTGGAAAATAAAAAGAAGAGGGATTATAAGACTTTAAGCGTCCCTTGAAATTATTGGATTCAAAGTAAACAATGGGGGGTTTCACACCCCTATAATCTATGATAGAAGTGTTCTATGTATAGAGTACCTTATACTATTTTTCAAACATAATTCAGAAATGTATAAAAAAAAACCTGGCTTCATTAATAATAACACTACTGTTGACTAATTTTTTGTTTATGTAGGTACGTTTACAATGTATACATATACATTACATTACATATACATATACGTATACATATACATATACATTGTATATTTTAGATTCTACTACAATAGATTAAATATGAAATGTGTTTTTGTAATGGTTTCCGGTTGAATATAAATTTTGTCTAGTTGGTGTTGTAAGACGGTAATTTTCTTTTCCTTATTGTTTTTTGAAGAACACGTAAAATCTGAGAAACACGCCGAGGAAACTGTAGTATTTATACAATAACGGTTTCTAGGTATTATATTCACTTTTGTTTTATAATTATAACTCAATGCAAAATAATGGTACAAGCTGGCAGTTTCACTAAATATTTATAATTTAGTTTTTTGATAATACATATTATGTAAATTTGTCGAGATATGTTACAATTTTCTAATTATGTATAGATAATTTCAAATTGTTTAGTTTTATTTGATTTTATGAGCTTAAAATTGTTTTGGCCCTGCAAATATGCTTAACAAACTCATTAAAAGTTTACGTAATAAGCGGTAAAAAAATGTTTAAGCATAATGTATCAATTATTTTATAAGAGTTTGTAGTTTAAATTTTAATATACATGTATTTTGTTCAAAATTCAAAAATATGCTTAGGGCAAGTGGGTGTTCTACTAAAAATAATTACTAGAGGTACGCTAACATTTCTGAAAAACTAGTTAAGGTACTAAGTCCTGCGTTCCCTCCTAATTCGAGAGCTAGATCTTGGTTGACGAACTGTGACATCATGTAGCATCCTTTTTCGTTAAAATCAGTATCTACACTTTCTATTTTTGCAGGATAAACTGCTACTTAAGTAAAAAATTCAAATATTACTTTTTTGTTTTTATAAACAGTGATTAAAAAAAGGTGGGTAATATACTACTGGTAGTATTGTATATTAAACATTTATCAAAACATTCAACAGTTTACTCCCTAGGTTATTTTAGTAAGGAAGTCATCGAATTAACTCAAAATTATTTTTCGTGTCTATGCAATGATTTATCTTCACTTATAGCAAATAACCACACTAAGTTACTCTATATATATATATTTTAACTTCACTACTATCCACCTAAAACAGCGACCTACCCACGGTGCAAAATATATTTGGCTTTTAGATCAATACTAGCGTAACTAATATAAATATTTTATTAATTAACTATTAATTATTTAATAAATTGTTGAATAAAAAAGAATTTGGAAGTGTTTAATTAAGACGTGTTAATTTTTTAAATTTTATCTTAGAATTTTTAATTACATGTTTGGGAAATTAGAGGAGAGTATATAAAATAAAAAAAATACAAATTAAAAAATACAATTAAATACTTTTTCAAAAGTTTTTTTTTTGGTATTCCAATTTATGATTGAGTTTGAACAGAACACAATTTTTATCTCTAAGTTGTATAAAAATTTGATTAGAAAAATGTCAGAGTGTGACATACGGGCAGACAGACAGACAGGATAAAATACTAATGGTTCCATTTTTCCCACTTTGATTACGGAACCCTAAAAATCATTATTTTTTTGAGAACTTTTCGCCTTCCGAAAAATAAGTGGTCATATGAAATGTGATTGTAACATAACCTTCTAAATTTTTATTTGATTATCAAATTGCATTTTTCGGAATATCACGTTTTTCCACATCCACTAACCACTTAGATTCATTCTTCTTTCAAAATTTGCCAAAATAATATTTTTCAAAATTAAAAAAAAAAAAAACAACAAATCCATAATAGGTACTTTAATACGTTATTTCATTAATCGTGTAAAATATAATTATGTATAGTTAATGTTCATAACTGAATAGTGTTCACATTACCTATCCCTGGACATATATATATATTATTATTTTTTTAGTTAAAATATTCAAAATATTTAAAAAATCGCTTGAGATTGAAATTTTGTAGAATATTGTAAAAAACAAAAATATGAATTCACAATATTAAACTACGGAGTTATAGTAACTTTCTTGATTATTGTTTTGATTATAAAAATAGGGTCTGCAATAATTATTGTCGTAATTTTGAACTGTATAATTAAGTTCATTATCACAAGCAATTTATATTAAAGTGATTAAAAATTACATATTAATTTGATAAATGATTAAACAGAAAAAAATAAATACAAATCGTTACTAAATCGTGTACGGTCGTAATATTGAAATTGGGAATAATTCTCATAAATTGTATACACAAATAGACAAATTGTTTAACATACAATGACTGTGTTGACTCTTGAATTTAATTGTTATCGTTATTTGTTATAGATTTTTTGATATGTTTCTTTGTTCGTATATCCATACAGTTAGTTTTCACAAATGATTTTAGATTCTGAGTGAAACGAAAAACAATATATTGGTTTTACAATGTTTATTTTATTTATTTTTTTTTATCTGTGAACAACTTTCTACCAGCAATTTTGCTTTGATTAACAAGCGTAGTACTTTTTCTGAAATAAAATCTTACTAGGGTGTTACTTTATGAAGGTTATTTTTTGATTTTCTCAGGAGTTTTCCCAGTAAATGTGAAAAACAGGGAAAAGCGGATGAAAAATGAAAAATAGGTACAATATTAAGCAAATATTATTTAGGAAAATATATAACGCATATGCACATATTTTGCCATAATATTTCATATTTATTGTTGACAAAGCAACACTATCAACTGAACTCTGCTAAGAACTGTTTTTTCGTTTGCAATTATTACAGATATACATTAAATTTCCTTCTGTATTTTACCTTTCCCATTTTCCACCCGTTATCCAAGGACAGCTTTTATTGTTTTAATTAAATTAAAAATAATCGTAAAGATTTGGAATTGTGATAAAAACTTATACCTGCCTTTAGACGTAGTCAAATTTTCAAAACATTTTAATCGTTTGAGCTATGTATAGACATTTTAATTTTGCGACTTTGCTATGTAATGTTTATTCGGTATGTACTCTATAGATAAAATTATTAGACCAATCAGAAATACTTGAAAATTTAACAGGTACATATATTATAAGTCGTATTGTGGTTTCAAAAAAAAAAAAATTGATTGCAATGTACAATTTTTTTTATAATGATTTAAATATGCAATTTTTATTAGTGTTTTTATTACGGATCCATGGTGGTTTATTATTAATTGTTATTCATTTAACAATGATTATAGTAAGTAGTGAAGTGATTTATCGACATATCGTGTGAAATGAAATCATAATTATTCCATTCAATATACATTTGTTAGGCTCGTTAATACGTGTTACAAACCAAATATATATTTACATATTTTTTGTTACCAAAATAGATTTTAATTGGTTAAAGACATTTTTTTTTTATAATTGTGTTAAAAATAATTGTAGAGATCTAAAATGTTATTAGAATACTTATGCTGGTATTTCGAGACGTTCAATTTTCAAAACATTGTGACGATAGGCATTTGATATTTCGCGTTTCTATAGATTTTATTTAATTTAATAACTACCTATTATATGGATACAATTTTTTGTAAAGAAACAGAAATGTTTGAAAATTTAACACGAGATTCATTATAACTTTCAATAAGTAGTAAATAGTGAAAGTATCGTGAACTGATAACTACCATGGCCTATCGTGAGACCTTGTGCTTATATCATATAATACACCGTAAATCATGTATGGTCCGAATATCACAAAGCCAATCCTGATAAATCCCAATTAAGTGCCACCAGATTCGAGACCCCTCAAATTTAGACTAAATGATATTTGTAGGACTGATTATTTAGAAAATACATTAACGCTATACTAATAATACGTGGACCAATAAAATTATAATAACATGATTGGTACGTGGATAAGCAAGTTTAAAAAAAAGCTACAAGAAGAAATGCACGTCAGTCATGACTCATCAGCATCATACGAAGACAAATGATTCAATGGTTCAATTAAATATACACTTTTACTCTTTTTTGAACTAAAATAATAATTTTTAATTGTCGTACAGTTTTCGTTAATATTTTATCATAATACATGGGTAATATTAAATATTAGATTTATAATATTTTAATGCATATTTCACATCATTGTATGAAATTAAATGTTGAAGTGGTCACTTGAAAACATATAAAATCTCTAAGATAAAAAACACAATATAAGTGCCTAACATAATCAATTTAATAAAATAAAACTATAATAATCTTAAAAATTAATACTAAAATATTAAAGAATCAATTTAGGTACTGAGTTGTAATAACAATGTTTTTTTTTTTTTTAGATAAAAATCCATGTGAACACTATTGTTGTTTAAAATCAAAAATAGATATAGATTTGAAAGTATATTCGAAAACCCATAATCATCAATGTATATCTTATTTTCTCAATATATGTCGTTTTTCTATAGCTAGTACCTAACACCTTTAATCATGTACTAATCATTAAATATCATATGAAATGACTGTGTTAATTTTTATGTTAATATTTTACGGTAGTCTATATATATTTTTAGTGTACCAATACATCAAGACCAAATACATGTACAATCGAGTTCATTAGTTCCGATCAAAATTACCCGATTAGATCAATGTCGATTTCAGATGGTCCGGAGCTGACACAAAAACCTAGGAGGTCTACAAATGCTGAAGGTTAGAAAATCTATACAATTTTAAATTTCATTTTGACATAATAAAGCAACAGGTTATTATATTGATTTTTTCTTAGCTTGGATCGGTGGTTTGTTATCGGTAGGCGTTATAAGTTTATCGGGATTAGTAGGTGGAATATTTTGGCCATTACTCAATGACCCCAAAAAGAAGAAAACTGTCATGCGATTACTATTGGGTTTGGCCACAGGATCGTTGTCGAGTTCAGCTGTATTTCAACTTTTACCGGAAGTGAGTGAAAATACTGAAAACAATCTTTGAGAGGGAGGGGTAAGATTATATTGATGTATATGTAAAATTGCAGGCATTTAAAATACCAGAGGCATTTCCCGACTACAAGTATACTGCACTGATAATGTGGTTAAGCTTGTGCGGATTGTATACCATCGAAACGTTGGCAGGCATTTTTTTTTATAAAGAAGAGAAAAAGGTATACGATTTTTCGAATAGGTTTACGTATACATACGTTGTATTTTTTACTCTAGATGACTAATACTATGTGAGGTTTATAGATCATTGTCGACGAATTGTCGCCGTCCCTTCAACTCGCTAACGGCAACACTACAGAAATGAAACAAATATCACACGGGCACAGTCACAAAATGAATACAAAGTCCAATGTACGAGTATAAAAAGCATAATTATTTACATATATTCCGTTGATTCTTTTATATCAACGATTATTCACATGGAGAGTTTAGTACTTTCAGTCATATATAATATTAGTTTGTTTAATAATCGTATTTTCTATATCAATAAAATGTGACCCTTATTGCCTAATTTAACCTAACTATAGATATATGTATCAACTTTTGATTTTCAAGTACAATTCACATGGATAATTTTTAAACTCAAATTTAAATGAGAAAAAATATTATTTTTCTAAACACTTTTTGATACGCAGAAATCTATAATATCGGAAAATCGTTTCTGTGTAACAGATTTTAAAGTAGTTTAATATTTGGATCGAATGGGTTGGGAAGGATAATAATAATAATGGCATATCCACAAAAAGATAACCCTTTCCCCATTCCTCCTGCCTAAATTCATGATAAAAGAATTACCATGCATATCTTTATGTGTGGTGTGAAAATATCATCATAATATTATTGTTTTGTTTGTGATAGGACGATAAGAGTCCAATATCGACACTGGCCCTGTTGGTGTTGTTCGGCGACAGTCTTCATAACGTGATCGACGGCATGTCGATCGGTGCTGCGTTTTCGGAAAATGTCACTACCGGAATATCTATATCGATCGCCATAGCGTGCGAAGAATTCCCCCATGAAATAGGTAAACAAATTAAAATTTGCGGCCATCTGTTGAAAGTAAAAAGTTGGGAAGGTATAATACCTAGGACAATTTAGTTTAAATACTAGCCGCATATTGGTACGATAAATCATTGCAAATGAACAATGATTTTGAGCGAAGTTCGGTTTAAACATTTTTTGATAAATTTAAATTGTAAATTATATTCATTCATAACCATAAAATTAATCACAATCATTCATGTTTTTATTATTTACGATTTTCATCAACCTTAAAATACACGTATAAAAATAAATCATGAAATTAAGTATAATTTTTTTACCACTTATTACAACTCATGATTTAACCTTTTATAGAATGAGTAGTTTCACAGGGCTAAATAACTTTAGTTACATAAATAAATCGAAAAATAGTATGCAGAATTTTGATGGTTATTAGTTTATTACGATTTACAACCGCTTATAAAAAATATCGTGATTGCGGATTTTTATGTAAGAAACTACTAGAAAATCTTGCTTGTAACGAACAAATTTTTGAGTATTTGGATACATAAACGGCCAAAAATTTTAATTTATTAAAACCGAAAAATGAAAACAATTTAAAATAGACATAAATAACTTAAAATCACCAGAATATATTTAAAATTATATCATGTCTAGTAAGTGCTAATATAAGCATTTGGTGTAAATTTCAGGTCTCTACAATTATTTTTCACTAAATTTTAACAATAACAAAATTGATTTTACAAGAAACTGCTGTTTCTTAAATATTTTCGTTTTCTCGCACAATTAAAAAAAATTCTAGGAAAATCCACAAAAGATAATATAAGCATACCAATTAGACAACATTTTCTAGCACAAATCATCCTTGAAGTTGATGATTGGTGTGAGATTTCTGGTCGAAAAATTGTTTACAGACAAAAAAGAAAACACTCGTCACAGTTAAATTTAACCTAACCTACTTACTAATTTTTTAGTAGTAAATTGTAGTAGTAGCAAATTTGTATTTAAAAGAATATAATAGTAGGTATATATAGGTTTTATATATGTTTATTAGGTGTTATATTAAAAAAAAATATAAGTTGTTCAGATAAACATAATACTCAATACAATTTTATAAAAAAACTAAAAAAAAAAAAACCCATATATTTATCAACTTATATATTATAATATATTGGTATATAAGTAAAATAAATAAATAAACATACATGTATAGAAAAAGAACAAAAGAAAACCAGTGTTTCCAGTGTATCCAGTGTTGTATTTATAAAGATGGGCCACGGGTGATCACATGTCCAGAGGTGACATATCTTTGTGAAGATATGTTTAAGCAAAATTAATTTTAAATATGTAATAAAAAAATACAAAAATAACCTGTCCTTGTTTAATGGTGACGGGAGCAGCAATAAAGGAATTTAATGTATATCTGTAAGCAACGATAAACCATTGATAACCAAAAAACAATTTTGAGTGGAGTTAAGTTAATAGTGATGCTTTGTCAATAATACATGTATCATACTATGGTAAAATAATCATATAGGTATTATATATTTTCTTTTATAAAATTTGTTTAATACAGTACCGATTTTCCCGTTTTCCTGATTTTCTTATGTTTTTTCTCGGTTTCCAGATTTTCTGGGAAAATTTTTGGGAAAATCAAAATATGATTTCTCTAAAGTGCCTTCTCAGTCAGATTCCTTTTCAAAAAAAGTGCTATCATTGTAAATCAGAGCAAAATGGCTAGTAGAGAAGTTGTTCAAAAGAAAAAAAAAGGCCTACATATTTTTTAACTAATACCTACCTACCTACATTTCGTACACTCTCCCTGTTTTTCTCTTTTTTTTTGGTTTTTAATATTTTATGAGAAAACTGAGAAAATCAAAAAATGACCTCCTTGATGTACCACTCTAAGAAAATTTAATTTCAGAAAAAGGTCTACATCGTATGTATTAGAGTAAGCTTTGTGGTAGGAAAAGTGTTTGCATAAAATTCAAAAAAATGTATACATCTTTATAAAACAAATACATTTTTTGCTACTCTCAGAATCTGAAACAACTTAAAACTCATTTTATTTGTATTTTATACAAATATTATATATCATTAGATGTATTATTATATGTATTACTATATAATAATAATAGGATCATAAAAATGTTCAAGAAAAATCTATTTTTGCAATCAGCTAAATAATAATTTAATAATTAGTAATCATGTTTTGTTATTTAATATTGTGTTTTATTATGTAAAAAAGCTTTAAATTTTTTTAATTAATAAACTATTTAATTAATTAATTGTTCAACATCATCATTGAACGCTCAACATTGCCATCATGAGATGGTTGCTAGATTAATCACTACCTGGGACGTATTTAAATGTGTTGATAATATTAAAGAATCTCGATCATAGTTGAAATAAGTGTAATATGATAAGTAGGGTTACATAAAATTGGTTTTTCTTTGTGTTACAAATTGTAATTTTTTTTTTCTAAATATTTGTTGAGTTTTATGTTTAGTGTGAAGAATTCTTTGTAAATGAGTAAATGTTACCTAGAGTTGAATATTTTGTAAAAATCTATCTTTCCACATAAAACGTTTGATACCGATTTACCTATTTCACCAGATTAGTTTGAGATTATATTTATTTTAGTTAAAAATATAGGTATACTTAAGCATTATTAGTATACCAACTCAATAGCATTAAATCTTCTAATAGATTATGCATGGTATATACCTTTATTAAGATAATGAAACTTACAGCTTCATTATGATTTATGTATTTTTATTATTATTTTATTCATTAATTCACAGTTTTATGGAGGATACGACATATTAGACGTAAATTTCACTAAATACTAGGTATATACTTGTGAGATATCTAGACGAAAACCGTCTTATAAAATATGAACGATTATGTTATTATTATTATTATTATTATTTATATACTATTTTATTATATTCGTATGAACGATAAAAATCAGATTCTTTTCTCGTTTGCTGTTTGTACTTATATAAATTATTATTTTTCCAGGGGATTTCGCTATACTCATTCAGTCAGGTATGTCGTTCCGGCGTGCCTTGTGTTTTAATTTCCTGTCGGCGTGTACGGCGTTTATAGGATTTATTATAGGCATATGTTTGGGCAACATGGAATATTCTGGGTTCGTTTTCTCTTTTGCTGGAGGATTGTTTTTGTTCATTACGTTAACACATTTGGTAAGTAGACAACGAAGTAGAATAATCGTATTACGTTTAAATGTAAATCTCATGAAAAATTTAACACGTCATCTAAGAATAATATGCTCGAAAATTGAAGTACAATCTATATAGAATATATTACCATTATTACTTATATTAGGTATATACAGGATGATTCACTAAGCGTGCTCATCCAATTTTTTTAGTTGAATTTGACATATATTCAAATTTTGATTTTTGGAATTTGAATGTATGCAATGTTTAATAAAAAAAAAAAATTGGACGAGCACACTTAGTGAATCACCCTGTACATATTAGGTTAATGTTGGACATTGGATAATGTCAACTTTTCGTCCAATAAAACTGATTTTGTGCTATTAGTTTTAATATTAGAGTGAATTGGTCTATTACCAAACTCAAAGATAAAAACAATGTCTGTATCTTTGGTTTTTTTTTCAGATGTTTTAATTTTTAATTATTAGGAGCATGTGAAGTATTTTAATTTAAAATTTGCATTTTGCTTAAAAATTAAACTATCGGGAAAAAATGATCGTACAAACACAGAAATTGTTCTTATCTTTAAGCTTGATAATAGACATATTCACCCTAAAATTATACTAAATAACAGCTTAAAATCGGTTCCACTGAACGAAAGAGGACATTATCAAATTTTCAACATTAGACATAACATATGTATTATCAATAAAACCAGTAAAATATGGTTATATTTACTCCCCTACTGACCTAAATCACAGATAGGTCAAAACATACAAAAACTATAATCGTACATTCCATTTAAATATAACGAGTATAAATCGTAAATTGTATACAAAGTTTAAACAGTATAATTTAGTACAAAATTAATTTGTTGAAACTTTGTATTATTAAACTATAGTTTGTGATCTATATTAACGTTTAACAATATTTACTTGTATGTACTCGTTTATATGTTATTTTTCAGCTATTCAGGTGATAGTATACAACAGTAGATATTCGTGTAGAGCGAAAAACTATGTATTTCATAAGGCATATTAATATATGCCTACATGGTACATTATTACAATAATAATAAAAATAAAAATGAAGTACTTAAGTGGCTTGAGTGACTAAAGTACTTATTATATGTGTTCTTAAGGAAAATGTTTTCCAATAGATGAATACGTTAGAATAAAGATGATTAACCTTCGGTTAATAGTTTTATGTTTGAGTTTAACTCCTGGTTTTACGTTAATTCTCAAAAAATTATGTAAAATCATCAAAACAGGATATCGAAAAAAACTTTCTGTGAGATCTGTTAAAACATCTCGTAAAAAAAAAATGTTAATTCATTTTCTGTCTCCTTTATATAAATGGTATAAATGATAAATTTGTCACCTTTAAAATTGTGCCACTCCAATCATCTGCTCGTTCTGCTTGTATATAATAATGATGCTGCAATAAGTGTCTACCATCAAATATAAAAAAAAGCGATATTTCAATAAAATGTATATTAAGTCCCTTTGGATATATTTTATATTATCTCAAGAATGCCACTAATATTGATATTAAAATTTGTGTTATGTGTACAATTTAACTAACTAGGTACTCTAAATATTACGAAATTCCAGATGGATTTACTTGGAATGTTTGTGTTATGTCATGTATTTACCCGTATTTTCTCTCTTTAGTAAAAAGTGTAATCATATACAATTTACTTTATCTAGTATAAAATATTTAATCCGGAAGGTACAATTATTATGATTTAAAAATATTGAAGGTGTATTTTTCTATAATTTGTCGAAATGAAATAGGTATGTACCAATTATAATTTATGATGTAGAAGAATTATTTGTTCTGAGTTTTGAACATGTCACAAACATGACTTTATGGACATTAAAATATATTATTTTAACTCAAATGAGGATTAAATTAATTGCATAGTTTAGACTTTAGTCAAAAGTTCTGAGTTTGTACGTTATAACTGATAATATTAAAATATTTTAAATAAGATGTTTAATACCTAAATTTTAAATTTACCATTCAAACACATAGGTACGTATATTTAAGGAAATGTATTGTACAATTTAAAACAAATGCATTAGGGAAATATTTCAAATAATTATATTTTATTTTATTTTAAATTTTAACGAATTACAGTAGTAAAATGACATTGTACAAACTACCAGCGATTAAAGAAAATAATAATACCGAATACATACAATAATTTAACATTTTAACATAAATTAATCTTATCGGTTGGCTTAGGTTAGATCAGTTTTTAAGTCAAGTTTTATAAATTTTATCTGTTTCAGTATCCATCTTTGTTTCAGGATTAACAATTTTTGCAGAGCTTAATTTTGCAATTGATGTATTATTTTAGTTTATATTTTATTTATAATAATATTTAACACATTTAACAGAAGGCATTATTTCTATTTTATGATATTAATTTTTTTGCCAAAAAATTGTTTGGTTAGAATGACATTTTTCGTAATAATAGATAGACAAAAAATAATTATTGTATTATAAGAAAAAAGTGTAAATAGACTTTTTAAAAACTCTTTTTCATTAAGGTTACTTAAATTATCTGTAGGTGCCGTGTGTAAGATTTCTTCGTTTGTAAAATTTGTCTACAAACCTAGCTAGATTCTCGATACATTTTTTTTTTCTTTTATTGATCTTGATTCACTGTAAATTTTTCAAACGCTGATAATTTAAGCGATGAACTAAAACTACTTCTATACTTATATTTTAAAACTATGGTAATCATATATAATAAGTTCTAAACATTAATAATAAGTAATAACATATTACATGAGTACTTGTCAGTAAAGTATTGTATTTATAACTAAATTAATTTAAGATTTGCTCTTCTAAGTTAAGTAAATTAAGTAAGTCAGGATACAAAAAGTTATTAAATTTATATTTGTACACAGTGAAAAATCATTTTAAATAAAAATTAATATCGATTGAAGTTCGGTAAACATTTTTCGAAATTCCATAATGTTAACGATTTTCTGGAACATTTAAACTTAAAAGATTGTAAAAGAAACTATTACCTACATCAAGCGAATTTCATGATACTTTCACCCTTTGTAATACTTTGTACAACTTTTAATAAATTTGATGTTAAATTATCTACTATCATTGTAAATTGGAGCAAAATTAATGGAAGAAAAATTGTTCACAGAAAAAAAAATATTGTAAAACTAATACAACTTGCTCCACTCGGAATCTAAAATAGAAAATAAAGAAACCGAAAATAATCCCGAAAACTTTCCCATTTTTTTCTCAGTAATCATTAAGTAAATTACACGGAAAATACAAAAATTATCTTCCCAACGCATCAACTAGATCCAAAATATTACAAAAAAAGCTCTCGTATATCGAATTCAGTAAATAAGAGCCCATGTATACCTATACCTATACATCCGGTCGGTTCAAGTTAACTATATTTAATCACGGTATATATAACTATATTTAATCACAAGTACTGATTTGTTTAATTCACTGAAATAATGACAGCAAAAAATAAGAATGCTTAGGAAAATGGAAAATGTAAAAACCTGGAATGTACACTTCTTTTAATTTTCATCACATCAACCGTATAATATGTAGAAAAAACACCAGGTTAAATAATATTTTATGTATGATTTAATGTGATTTTTTGAAAGACCAATTTCCATTGCATGAAATAGCTAACCTAATCAAACTTTTCATAAACAGATCGATTTCACCAAGGAACTTTATACCCTATACATATTATGATCAATTAACTTGGGGAACTTGGGGTGCTTAAGTTGTTCAGTTTTATCTATAGCTTTGCAGACTTTATTTACGTTATTTAGCATATTAAATTTGATTATCAAGACTATCTAAGCATATATTATTATTCTTGAAGAATGTTTATATTTTAAGATGAGTTTTTTTTTATTGAAACATATTTATTAATTATTTTTAAATGTTTTTCAGACACCCGAAATGAAGAATATGGTTGATGAAAATCTAACAGAAAGTAAAACTTCCGCGTACATAGGCTTATTATTGCAAAACATCGGGATGTTTATTGGCGCTACTCTGATGTACATCATCACTTTTTCGGGTTCCATAAACATTCAATGGTAAGGGAAAATAACTATTTTACAGGGAAGAATGTAAAATTTAAACCTCTTTGAAAACTAACAAATATGGTTTGATTGGTATCACAATCACGGTGCTAAGTTAGTAACTAGTATTTTCAAAAATATAATGTCTAGTACTTATATGTCCAGAAATTAATTCCGAATGTACAAAATGTCAAAAAAGTGAACGTTCAGTCCATTTGGTTTAGAATATTTAAACTATAATAAGACAATTAAATATATATATATATATATATATACATATATGTTTAAGTAGGTATATGATAGTTATAATATTTATTTATTAATCAGTTTATTGGATTATTCAATTTAACCAATTTATGATTTAAACTTTGTGGAGAGCAATCACTCTGAAGTTTAGATATTATAACGTTACATCTATTACAATTTCAGTTTCAATATTGTTCCTATATACCTTAATAACTAATGATGGACATTTACTTGATAAATGTATTTTTAATGTAATACACTGACATAATAACAAATGTTATTTTGTAACTTGTTGCTGTCTGTACTAACTACTGCAGAGGACTTTTACAATTTGCATATTTCCTTTACACAATTAAAAAGCGGTCCTTGTTAATGGGGACGGAAGCAGCTACTGTTAGGTAGAAAGTTGTAGGTATAAAGTTGGACATGTAAAATACAGAGGAGAATTTAATGTATATCCGTAAGCATTAATAAACCATTGATAAAAAAACGATTTTGAGCGGAGTTCAGTTGATATTGATGCTTTGTCAACAGTATATATGTCACATCATGGTAAAATAATTAAATAGGCATATATTTTCTTTAATAATATTTGTTCAACATTGATCCGATTATCTCGTTTTTCTTACGTTTTTTCCAGTTTTCCCATGGTTTTTTGAAAAAAACTTTCCTAAAGTACCTTCCTAGTAAAATTTCTTTTCAAAAAAAATGAACATTTAATAATCGGAGCAACATTTCTGGTAGAAAACTTACGTGCAGATAACCATAAAAAAAAAAATATATATATATTTTTGTAAAACCATACGCTTCTTCGCTCTATTCAAAATCTAAAAACTAACAGAATAAGAAACAAATACTTTTTTTATTTTGATAGAGATAGATTTATTAATTTATTTTGCATATAAATGCATGTATCGAGGTTTTTTTTTTAGGGCTGATTTTTTCCATTTTATACTTTTTGAGAAATATTTCAAAATTTTAAATATCGGCTTTTTAATAAACGTTTTTTTTTCATTTTATAATGCGACCAAAATTGTTGAATTTAAATTAATTTTAAATTTGTATAACGTAATATGGTGGTTGACTGTTTGCAGATGCACGTTTTTCCTAGAAACATTTGACAATCGCCGATTAGATTAATTTTCCGGTTTAATTTTATTTATAAACAATAAATATATTTTCTATATCATAGGTAACCAGATAGGGCGTTAGCAAAATATTAATATTTATTAATTAATTAGTTCATTATATCATTTTATAAAATAATAACTAATATTAGTCTTCATAAATATAAATTATAATATAGCTATTAATGCAATTAATTAACTAATTACATCGACAAAATCTTATTATTTAAAACTAACTTTTTTAACTATTATTTATATATTTGATTAAAGCATTAAAAAAAGTATTAGAACATATTTAGCATATTTATATAGGGTTCTTAATTTTTATGTACATAAATGCTTACACATGCTTTTTTAGAGCTACAAGTCTTGTGCCTTATTTATTACCATAAATTGATGCTTAACAAATTAATTTCGAAACATTTATTATTCATTTTTTAATTAAATAATAAACAGTCTTATTTAATCTTTTAAACTAGACCACAACAATATGTCATTATTATCATTGCTATTATTACTATTATTTTTTATCTAAATATTACAACTTAACAAATTAATGTAAACTTGTTGGCTTATTTTTTACTCGAATAAAAGGTTTGTTCAGATCAAAAAATCAACATTTTGGGTGGGTAAATAAACGTGAATATATGTGAGGGTAAACACCTAAATCAAAATGGCTATGAAAATGCTCACAAGTATTAAGGCTACAGGAGATTATGAAATAGCATCAGAATTATTAAAAAGTTGAAGAGATAATTCAAAAATAGATTTATGGAGCATATTAAAGGAAGTGTAGGTAATGGGTGTGTGAAAAAACATCAAATATCTGTCCAAATTACCAAAGTAATTTCTTAGTAGGTATATTGTTAATTGACCATATACGTATATAAGCAACTGATAGAGAAATATTATAAATTTAATAAGTAATTGCATTTACTATTCTACAAGTTGGTACAACTTTGTTAGAAGAGAAGACTTATGAAAACACCTAGAATTGATTAGTATATTCTTCTTCTTCTTCTTTTTCTTCTTTCTTGGTTTCGGCCATTCAAGACCATACCTCTAGATAAACATACTGCCACCTATCCCTATTCTCTGCTACTTCCTGCCAATGACACTCCGGCTCCACTGTTTCAGTGTCTCTCCTTACGCAATCCTCCCATCTTAGACGCGGTCTTCCAAGAGGTCTCCTCCCTACTGGGTTTTCCTCTATTACTCTTCTTATTAAAAGTATTAGTATTAGTATTAAGTATTATTAAAGATTAGTATATTATCCAAGTAAAGAACAATGATCAGAATATCTATACAAGCAGAAAGATGCCAAGTAAGATTTGGACAAACATACTGTGAAAAGTTATTAACTACAATTGTAAGGCATTTTCTTCTATATATTAGTAGAGATAAATGAAATGAAATGTGTAATGGGTTTCTGAAGCCGAAAAAAAAAAATATCAAAATATTTAACTAACTTTTGAGTACTTACTAAGTTTACTAAATTGTTTAAATTTTGAAAATTAATGTTTTGATTTTTTATACATTACCCATTACATTATACTAAATATGTATGCTACATGCACGCACTAGTCACTGAACTTTTTTTTTTGGACATTTTTACTAATGGACATTTTAACCTGAAATCTGACTATTACATGACGTAAACAGCTAGATTCTCAAAAGAAAACAAATTAAACCATGTTTTAATTTAATTTGAATAGGTAATGGATTTAATTTTGTTAATATCCCTTCAAAATTTATGTCAATAAAGAAGTCATAAAATTTACGACAAATTTAGTTTTATCAAATGTGTTAGATTTAAAAACTGTTAATCTTGTACCTCAAGTAAACGAATTAGTTATATTATACTTAATGTATGTCTAATATTATGTCATATTTTTCAGATACATAATTTTTATATTATTTGAACCATACAGTGGTGCATTTATAGCGTGAAATTTAACATTTCATTAATTGCTGCAATTGTGCCATTACTTCAATATTTTAAATATTATACGAATAATAAAAAACGATACGGCTCTAAAGAATACACACCGAAATCATAAAAAATTACAACGAGGTAATGACACAAGTAAATTAATTTGTCATCAGACGTACAATGATGTGTGTTTTGTAAAAATTAATTGTTTAAAGAAATATAGTGTATTAACTTAAGTATATAATAAATTACAATTTTTTAACATTGCCCAGGAAGTAATAAAAATATGTTAATCTGTTTTCTAAGCCTCTTAATAAAACCCATTCATCGATTGTATTACCTGTTTTTTTTTTCTATTATATTATTAGTGATTTTGATAAATTTTATTATAAGTTAATCGAATACTATTATTATTTCTGTATTTGGCTGTTCTTTTTTAAAAAATAGTTTTAAGTACTTATATTAGTTTTAACCGTAACTATCTGTTATTTCACATAATTATATTTGTATCGATGTTATTTTTATGAGTATTTTAGTATAATATTATGTTTTTATTTTGGTAATTTTTTAGTAATTTTTATAATAATGAACTTTTGAATACCGTGCAAAACTGTTACTTATTATTTATAATCACAGTGTTTTATAACAAAATATATACCAAAAAACCATTATTGTTATTACTGTTTGAGTATTGAAAGATAATTTTCTCAGAATCTTACATTCATTGTTTCCAAATTTAAATAATATTAGTTTAAAATAGAGAAAGTTGGCGAATATAATAAATTATTGTTGTATATTCATTTAAAATGTACACGTATGAATATAGTAATATGTTATACGGATTTCAAAATATATTTTATATATTTATCATTTATAAAAACTAGTTTCTTAATTTGACAGTTTAAAATAAATTTTCATATTGTTTATGATAAGACCACAATAACATAATAAGATACATACGTTTTATAATATAGGTAGAAACAAATATAAATTAATAGGCAATTTTTAAACCATTATTAAAGTGTTATCAACGGTTTTGGATGATTCCTGATTTTTTATTATTATTCATACATATATTTATGAAACTTTTGTTTTTAAAACAAAAATATATAATATACTTTCATACTTTTTCAGAATACTTCAATACGTGTAAAATATTTAAGATAATGTGTAACGATACGAAAGTCATAACATTTGGGAAGTATTTTTATTCTAGTTTTAAATTAATGCCTAAGTACAAATATTGTTTTGTTTTTAGTATTTATTGACTGGTGTACTTTACACAATTGTGTGTATATAAGCTGTAAAGTAAAATAATATTAAGCTAAATATAATATTATATTGTTTAACATTTAGGGTCAATTTAAATGTCAAACTTCACGTTCGTGGCCCTGAGTTAGCCGTACCAATTTATGTAATCGAATGTATAATTGATACATAAAATATTATATATTATTTATAAATCTATAAATATTAAATTTTTAAAAAAATATATTTGTGTAAACATTACATGGGGCTATGTAAAAAAAAATCATAATGACCTACGTATTATTTTAGATAAACAGTGAGAACTTGTAATATAAGTATACTCGATTCAATTAACCTAAAATCGCCGATTATATTGTATTTGTACCTGGCGTGCAGTGTTGTGTTTTCTAGATTAGAATAAACTACAATATTTATATCTTATCACATTCAGATAAATAGAAAACAAGTTATCGGATTCTGTAGTCTGAGATATCTAATTAATTAAATCAATTAGATAAATTAATCTAGATAAATTTTTTTAAATAGGAATTTTTATTATACTTAAATAATATGTAAAATATTTTATTCATATACCTATTATTAAATAAATTATTAAAATACATAAACCTTTCAACCTTTTTGAAATGCAGATTGTAAATATGTATACTAATTCTGGTAGGTGAATTTTTACTGCATTTAGCACCTAGTTGTTTGGTACATGAACAAAATTACTATTTTTTTATCGAGATAAAATGTTTCTGATTATTTATATTAATTAAATCATGTATCTCTATCTGTGTATAAATAGATAAGTAAGTATTTTAGCAATTACCCATTCTTTATCTTTGTCTAGATATTATAAAACTAATATATATATATATATATATATATATATATATACAACAATTCTTACAACCTAACCTGACGTGTGAATATTTGGAATTCACTGCATTTAAATAAATCATCAAAAATCTTTCAACTTCCCACCTGTAATAGCGGCCATAAGCAACATTCTGTGCGAAAGACATCAAGATCAAAATAGATAGAGAGATTTGTGAACCACGTGTGTATGCTAAAGTACATCGTCTGCCATTTAGTACCAGGAAAGATGTATCAAAGCATAGTGAGTAGATATCGACTGATTCCAACCTGACTGAACGTCAATTCAGGGTCATTTATGAAGAAGCATTAACTGATTGGAAAAACATATCGGTGGGTGTACCACAGGGAAGCATTTTCGGACCAATCATGTACTTTACACGGCAGACATTCCAACCAACAACTATTCAATGACAGCCATGTTTGCTGATGACACGGTAATAATGAAAACAAATGAAGACCAGCAGACTGCGACTGAGTGGCTTCAAAGGTCCATCAACAACGTTTCTAACTGAATGAAACGTTGAAAGATTAAAATTAACAGTGAAAAATCGGTGCACGTAAATCACACCTTGCGTAAAACCGTCTATAAACCGGTATTATTAGATCAACAGACCATTAAACATGAACCTAAACGTTCCGAACTAGACCTCACAAGCAAACGCCTCTTGTACGCAATGATAATTAAACCAATATGGACTTATGGAATTCAACTGTGGGGTTGTGTCAACAAGTCCAATATTGAAATTATACAACGTTGCCAGAACATCGCTCTCCATACTATTATCGCAGCTTACCGGTATGACAAAAATTGCATTCACCGAGATAAGATGATCACCTTCGTCCAGGACGAGATTTCCAAATTTGCCCTCAAACATGAGAAAAAACTGGATCAGCACACAAATCCAGCAGCAATTTAACTACTAAATAACTCTCTAGACATTAGGCGTCTCAAACGTCGAAGACCATATGACTTAGTATAATACTCTTAGACTCCACTAGGAGTGAGATTCCACACGTGTTTATTTTTTTTTTTATATATAAATACATCACAGATATTTATGTACACCTTTGATAATGTATTATTAAATACTTATTTTGATCGTTACAATAAAAGCTTTCGGGCGGTTTAAAACAAAAAAAAATATTTTAAACAATGGAACCGTAACGTTGTTATTTGAAAAAATAGTATTTTTCGGCTTTTTTGGTTTTTGCAAATTATTACGAGGTCTACTTTAGACATCAAAAACGACTGTATTTGGTAGTGGTTACATATTTAAAGAAACAAAATTGGTATTTTGTCATTTTTCGTTTAGAGCAATATTTCTGGTAGAAAACATTAGTTACCTACAAAAATTAAGAATAGTGAAATCGGTAATGTCGTGGCTCATCGTTAATAATAATTGTGTTTTACCTATAATTTTCTTTCGGGTAGAGAATATAATATATCATTTAAAAATAACCATCATCGCGTCACGTGCAGTCGAGAATTCAACAGGGAAATTACATAATTCGTAGCAAATTACGCGCGTCATAGCGAATTTGCGTTCGGTTTGATATTATCCCGTGGGCATCCGTCCCCATTGTCCTAGGACAGCTTTTTTTTTTGTATGTGTCTGAGCAAATTTTAAAACATTTTTGTCGTATTTTGAATTTACTTGGCGAGTATAAGTAAGTCGTCTTTATATTTTCTAAATGGTTTTTCGTAATAATCGAGAAAAACGTAAAACGAAAACTGAAAAATTTAAGGTGTTAATATTTCATTATTTTACTTTTTTACGGTTTATGTTTTTTACCAAAATATTGCTCCGATTCAAAAATAACACGAACCCGTTTTGGTTGCATTTTGAATTTATAGTTCACAAAGAGGAATTATTCTTCTATTTTTTTTACCACTAATACGACTTATATACAAACCACCTGTTGAATTGTCAAGCATTTCTTAATAGAGTGCTTATAACTAAATAAAGACTACGTGAAAAATTCGCAAAATTAAAATATCAATATAAATAAATCAAAATGGCTCAAATAATTTTAAAATTTTACTACATCTAAAAAATTTTAATTTGAGTTTTTTTTATCTAAATTTCAAATATCTACGAATATTTTGACTGAATAACAACAAAAACCAAAATTGAAAATAATAAAAATAAATTATTTTCGTAAATTTTTCTATTCTTCCTACAGTTTATTTTTCACTGTTAGTGTAAAGCGAATTGAATTGTTAATATATACCTATACCTGTATAATCAGGATTGTTAGTTTACACGTAAAAAACATTGTATACGTTACACGTATAATACACCACTTATAGTAACCGTACATAATGTACAAAATTAAATAAACAACTAAAACAAATTTTTTGTTTTTAACCACCCGAAAGTTTTTACTATAACAATCAAAGATCTTTAATAATACATTTCAAAGGTGAACACTGTACATAAATAGCAGATTTTGGTATATTAATATAAAAAGGACAAAAAAAACATGTGCACTCAATTTAATCGAGGTATTATCTCGGTAGTTAATGTAGTTTTCGTCATACCGATAAGCTGTAACAATGCTATTTTCTAACAGCTTTGAATAATCTGAATGTTGGATTTGCTATTAAAACTCCACAATTGTAATCTATAAATCCATATTGGTTTAATAATCACGACGTACAGTAGACTTTTACTTGTAAGGTCTAGATCGAAATTATTTCGATCAACCAATTTATAGTTTTTTCATTTTCTTCTTAATTTACAATTTTTCTGACGAATATAGTGTTTCCAGTTGAGCCGAGGACCAAAGTGCGTTCTTAGATTTATTGTAAGTTGCTTTATAGGATGACCAACTGATTCTGTAATATTGGTTTATAGACGGTCTTACGCAAAATGTAGTTTAATTTCACAAATTTCTAAATATCAATAAAACATATGAATACATTATTTTTCTTTTTAGTAATGTACACCTAAACCAAATATTGTATCAGTATTAATTAATCAATTATTACAAATAACATCTCTATCTTTAACCTAGCTTTGGAGAAAGTGGTTAGAGAACTTCAAACCAATGAAGGTGGTATCCAGTTAAACGAAAATAGAATACGGGTTCTAGGTTTTGCGGATGATTTGGTTATTCTGGGTGAATTCTTAACGGACGTAGCGAACGCAACCAGAATCTTGAGTAATGAGGCAAAGAAAATAGGATTGCACATCAGTGATGATAAAACCAAAAACATCAGTGATGATAAAACCAAAATAATGGAGCTTCTAGGAAGTGGTGAAAACCCCAGAGAAGGAAGTGGTGAAAACCCCTTCTAGGAAGTGGTGAAAACCCCAGAGAAACGGAAGATTTTATGTATGAAAAAGTTGAAGTTTTATGTATGAAAAAGTTGAAGACTTTAAGTATCTGGGTGCAACCCTGAGTACGAAAAATGATTGGGCCAAAGAAATAGGTATTCGTAAAACTAAAGCAGAAAAAACATTTTTCGCGTTGACAAAATTCTTTAGGTCCAAATTGCCTCTCTAGAAAAACCAAAGTTAGGTTGTACACGGCGATAGTTAGATCAACCCTCACATAAGGTTGTGAAGCGTGGACAACAACTAAGCAAACTGAAAGAAGGCTGAGGACTTTCGAGAACAAAATTTGGAGAAGAATTTGCGGTCCCATCTATGATGAATTAATAGGTAATTGGAGAAGAAGGTACAACAAGGAACTGCTCGACATGGTTAACATTCCACCAGTAACCAGTTTCATCAAAGGGCAAAGAATACAGTGGCTTGGACNGCGCGATGTTGTATTGGCGGCTAAGACTCTTAGAGAGTCGTAAAAGCCAGAAGAAGAAGAAGAAGAAGACATCTCTATCTTAATACATTTTAAACTATTTTTTTCTTCTTATTTTAATTGGTCAGTGATCACATATAATAATAATAAAATATAAAATATCTCAATCCACTAAACTTTTATAAATAAAATAAAATAAATAAATAACTAATAAAGAGCTACGAGACGATCATTCTGAGAGTTTACCAGAATACCACACTAAATTAGCAGAGGTACAACAAATTATCCAAGAAATTCAGCAAATAAAAGTAAAAGCAGAATAGAGGAAATACGTCTACGGAGAACATAAAAATTAATTTTCATAAAAGAAAAATTTACAATCTTCCAATTATTATGAAAGCTAACCAAAAAATAAAAATAACTTTTTCAAAGCTCCAACTGAATCAAAAATGCTAGAAAAAATATTTCTTGTAATTTTTTGATTTGAGCATGATTTCTGGTAACATAATTGTTCACAGACAAAAAAACATACACATCACATATAAACCATAAAACTAATAAATAACATTAAATTTATAGGTGAAAAAACGACGTAAATGCACATTTTTGATTTTTTGACATAGATACATCATTATGAAAAATATAATTTTATCAGGTGGAATAATGAAATAGGCGTGTATAAAACCTATAATAGTCCACTAGAGAGCAGTTTTGTCGTTGAAATAACAATCACATGTTCACATACAATCTGTGTTTTATTTAATTTGCAACTATGTCGTTGTTCCATCGTAAAAGCGAATACCTATTTAAAATACAATAAAAAATACGATTAAAATAACATAATATTATGTCTTCCTAGAATTCCACATATATACATAACCGCGGTCATTATTATTCTGGTCGGCTGATCGCCCATCTTCGAAAAATGTTTATTTGTAATTTTGGTCGATATTACATGTCAGTAAATAAATAAAAATATAAAATAATACAGTAATAATTACAAATCATTTTGCGTTAAATAAAACCATACATACAAAAACACTCTTAAAACAACATAATTTATGTAATCAAGTGTTTCAAAAAATATTGTTCTCTAACAATATTATCATACCAACTACACCGACTATGTATCGGTTAAGTTGTAACTGTTTCTGGTTAGTACTTATGTAATGTTCTCTAGTCATATGCCAGTACCAGACATGAAAATGTTATATTTTATAATGATAGTTTTATTTCAAGTAAACCAAGTACTAGTAGTAAAAATTGAAGACCTACCTAAAGACCATGAGTATTTTATTGCAGTGATAAACAAATTACATAAAGACATAGATCCTGAAAACAGTGATAATATAATATCCGGTTATGGTTTCAAGGACGGTATGTTTGAACCACAAGTATTTGTTACATTTAAAAGAAACTTACTTCTAATAATAGAACAGATGGCATATTATTATTTTGATAAAAAAGACGTCATATTATTTAACTCGGAATATATTTTTAACGTTTGTCCGTTACTCCCACGATTATTGGATTTTATTTATGTGGGTTCTGTGATAAATTCAAACATAATTTTGTTGAATAAAATGTACATAGTTCTTTGTAAAAAATTACCATCTTTCTATAAAAATTATAACTATGAGTACATAAGTTATGTCAACGAAAAACATTTAAGGGAACAAATAGATGCAATTTTTTCATCTAAACAATTGTTGGTAAAAAACGAACCAGTACTGCAGGAATTCTTGTTTAACAAGGATACAAAACGCGAGTTCAACAATATCAAATATCTTTCAACAATTTACATGATCATCGGTAGTATAAACATGATACCAATAATGAGAAATAATCCCGGTAAAAAATGGTATGATATTTTTGATAACCATTCGCTATATGATAAAATGATAACTAAGACATCGAAATCACTTGAGGATATAGATAAAAACATTCAACAATTTACGGACAATAGTTTTCAGAAGATTAATGAAAATTATATAGAAGTAATTATTCAGAATAAATGTGGTGAATTGAATAATAAACTTAAAGACCGGGAATTTTCGAAACCCACTGTAATACATGAATTATTGCTGTATACATTAGAGAGGCTAAACAATTATTATATGTATTTTTTGTCAGAAAGTTTAGAAACTTTAAAAAAAAATACTACAGAAGATCAGAATATAAAAAACAATTTATTGGAAATGTTGAAAGTTACGTGTATACGTATTCCGTTAATTCTTATGTATCTTATAGAATTTAATGTAAACGACACTAAACTGTTAAGCTTGTATTTGACGTTCTGCAGTGACTTTAAAGGATTCACTAGTGTTCGTTGTTCGAGTTTATTTCACGCTAAAGTAAATGATGAGAATAATGTGGCTTGTAAATTGGAATCGACGAGAAATTTTTTTACGTGGAATATCTTTACCATAACAAATAAGGTTCCAGAAATTGATAAATATGTACAAAATGAATTATGTATTCAATTAAACTTATATTTTATAAATAACATCCACGATATCGTATTTAAATATTATGGAGAAAAAAGTGTCCCCGTATGGACCACGTTCGAATGGTTGAGTGGTACATATTTTTTGACATCAGATTACACTAACGTCCAAATGAATGAAATAAAATCAAAAAATATAATTATTAAAGACGAGACTATGAGTTTATCAGTAGCTTACTATGCATTATTACCATGGATGTTGAACGCTAAATCTCTTATGGGTTTTCATGACATGATAGTTCTACATCTGAACACAACAATAGATCAGTACGTTTACCGTCACGCCCAAATCATAAATATGTACTTACAGCAGCAACTAGATAACAGCGGTTGTAACGTTGAAAATAAAGTATTAGAATTCATACGTACTAGTCTTCGTTGGTATGAACACGGGACGAAGATATTTTACGAATACCTTTATTTTCCATTCGTACAGGGTAGACCACAAACGTCTCTTCACATAGACAAATTAATTTCTGCAATAGTGAATATAAACAACGAAAACTGTAGAAATATCGAGACATTTATTCCGGACAGCGCGAGAGATGATATAACACAATTTTTTTTTAATAATAAAAATTCTAAAAACTTCAATGAATCCAATAAATTTGACTTGACCATAGAATGGAATTGTAATTATGCCATGGATTTCGTAAGTACTTTTATTTTGATCGTAAATAAATCGATGAGAATGAAAATTGAATTTGATAAAGAAAAAATGAAGGAATTATACTGTTTAAGTCATAGTATTTTTGTTGTTAAATCCCGGGGCAAGTCTATCAATATAGGAAAATGAGCGTGGTTAACAGTGACAGGCAGTAGAAGTATATACGATGGTTTGGTACTCCAGATTTTCCATTGCAGTTGATCCTACACCCTTGGTATAAGTGTGATTTTCTTATAATTATTTAATAATAAAAATCATCAATTAGTAATTTTGAAATATATTTGAATACATATATATTTTATTATACAGTAAACAATTGTAACTGTTACAAATCACAATGTAATAAATAAATATAAATAAAACTTATTGTGGATTCTTATGATGTGTCTTTTAATTACTCTATGTATATTTAAGAATTTAATATCGGTTTTGATTAAAAAAAAACGTTCTAGAATAATGAGGTCGGGTTCAGCCACTGTTATAAGTAAATTAATATACACCTGTAAGCAACTATATACTATTGCTAACGAAAAATCGATTCTGAGTGGAGTTCAGTTGATAGTGCTTTTTCAACAATATATATGTCATATAGTAAAATTCAAATTCAATATTAAAATGGAACCTGTTTTTCTTCCATTATTTTCGGTTTTTCACATTATTTGAAAAACTCCTGAGAAAATCGGAAAATGACCTCTCTAAAGTACTGCGTTACATCGATTTTCTTTCAGAAAAGGTGCGACACATAAAAATACAAGCAAGGTCTTTGGTAGAAATGTTGTCCACAGAACAAAAAAAAAAATAAAAAATAAACATCTTTGTAAAACCATAATAAGCAAAAAGTATATTATAGGTTGTAATTAGTTGTCTAAAAGTGAATTTTAACGAAAATCTTAAAAATTACGGCATTTCATAGTATGTCTTACTGAATTTTGCTCAGAAAGTTTTTCACTATCATTAATTACAGATATAAATTAAATAGCTTTATGTATCTTCCCAGCTTTTCACTTACAACAGTGGCGCTTCTATCAGCAGAATCAGCTCTGTTTTTAGTTTTTATTCGGTCGTACTAAACCGAATAAATTGATAGAAACCTGAAATTGTGACAAAAATACTACCTAATAATGTCTTTTCCAGAAGTGATAAAATCTTTAGTACATTCTAATAATTTTTAGGCATTTATAGCTCTTAGAGTATTTTCAGTTTTGTTTGTAAGAAATATAAGTGTTAGTTAAAAATATAAGGGCCTTTTTTTTTCATGTGGATAACTATTTACCAGCAATTTTACTCCAACTTTTAATGATAGCAATTTTTATAAAAGGAACTTTCATTGGGGTTGTTCTTTAGAGGGGTCGTAATTTGATTTTTTCCGGAGTTTTCTCAACAAATGTGTAAACTGGGAAAAACGTAGAAAAACCTAAGTAATATCGGTACAACATTAATCAAATATTGTTAAACGCTCTATACGTATTGTTGACAAAGCAACAATATAAACTGAACTCCGCTCAGAATCGTTTTTTCGTAAGCGATTGTTTATCATTACTAACAAATATACATTAAACCACTCATAACAGTGGTTGCACCCGTGCCCATTGTCCAAGGAAGCCTTTTTTTTTCAATCGGGTTCTATGCAAGGGGGACATATGAGGTGTGGCTATTAAATAACGAGACTGGTTACGAAAAAGTGTTTTATTATAAAAATTATTCTACATTCAAATGCTCTCCTTCAATATACTCACCTCCCCTCACCGCACACCTTTCCATACGTTTATTCCATTGATCAAAGCAGTGCTGAAAGTCTTCTTTGGTGAGGGCCTTTAGAAGCTCTGCCGTTTTTTGCTTTACCGCTTCCATCGACTCAAATCGGGTCCCTTTCAAAGCAGATTTTATCTTTGGAAACAAAAAAAAGTCCCACGGTGCCAAATCTGGTGAATACGGCGCGTGTTCGAGCACTGGAGTGTGCTTACCGGCCAAATACTGCTTCACAGATAGCGCGTTATGGGCAGGTGCGTTGTCTTGGTGCAAAATCCACGAGTTGTTCTTCCACAACTCAGGCCGTTTCTTACGAACTCTTTCTCGCAGTGTTGCCAAAACTGATAAATAGTAAATCTAGTTGACAGTCTGACCCTCTGGAACCTATTCAGTCATCACGATACCGTTAATGTCAAAAAAAACGATCAACATTGCCTTAAATTTTGATTTGAACATCCTTGCTTTTTTGATTCTGGGCGATTCAGGTGTCTTCCAATGCATCGATTGTCGCCTTGTTTTAACATCGTATTGAAAAATCCATGTTTCGTCGCAAGTTATAATGTTTTTCATCAGTCCGGAATCTTCTTTTAACTTTTTAAGGAAATCTGAACAGACCTGTTGACGCAAGAACTTTTGGTCAGGAGTCAGGTTTTTTGGCACCAACTTCCCACAGACTTTTGTCATATGTAATTCCTCATGTAAAATTTTTCTAACCGTTTCTTTATCGGCGTTTACAGCCTCGGCAATCATCCGGATGCTCATTCGACGATCTGCACGCACAATTTGGTTGATTTTGGTCACTGTTTCCGGAGTTGAAACAGTGACAGGGCGACCTGGGCGCTGGTCATCTTCAGTGCTCTCTCGGCCCTCACTGAAGCGCTTATACCACTCAAAAACACGTGCANCAATTTAACGAGAAATTTGAGATTGATACGTTGCTCCTGTTTTTCGTCACACATGGTTTTCGGCACGAGAAAAAAACACGTTCGTTTCAAACCACTACTGCACAAATACTATAATAGTGACGAAAACGTGTTTTGGTACGTGCATAGATAAGATATCTAGATACCCAACGCATTACTCGTTTTTTTCACTATCCATCCAGGGCGCCCTATAGGCGGGCAGTCTCGTTGTTTAATAGCCACACCTCGTATATATAAGTAGAAAAAAATTAAATTTTTAATTTATCACTAAAACATTTTTAAACAGCCATATTGAAGTATTTTTTTTTTCTCAACTTAATTGTATGTAACATACATTCATATCAATAGTTTATTAGTAATAGCCGTTTTAATTTCTGGACAATTGACACGATAACAATTAATTTTCAATAGATACGTTACGCGATAAGAAATCACAATCAACACGGTAATTTTTTTGTTCTATTGAATATTATTGAATATCGTACATGAATATGTTTTATATTAACATTTTTAGAATAATATTTTATCTTCACGTGCCACGTGATTCCTGTCACGACATTGAAAACTTTTCAAGTAGGTATACCTAAAATATAAAATACCTTAAATATAGTTATTATAAATACTGTACAATAATATTGAGTTGTTTGTTCTTCGATTCTGACTAAGCACATTTTGTAATTTTAAAAATCATTTACTTACAAATTACTGTCAACTCTGCGTTCCCCTTCGTGTTTACATTGAAAAATAGGACAACCTAACTAACCTACACTCTTAAAGCAATATAGTATAATATATACTCAAGTGTTTCAAAAAATATTGTTCGCTAAAAATATTATCATACCAACTACACCGACCATGTATCAGTTAGGTTGTACTGTTTCTGGTTAATACTTATATAATGTTGTTTAGTCATACACCAGTACCAGATATGAAAATGTTATATTTTATAATGATAGTTTTATTTCAAGTAAACCAAGTACTAGTAGTAAAAAATGAAGACCTACCTAAAGACAACGAGAATTTTATTTCAGTGATAAACACATTTCATATAGACATAGATCCTGAAAACAGTGATAATATAATATCCGGTCATGGTCTCAAGGAGGGCAGCATTGAACCGCAAGTATTTGTCACGTTTGAAAATAATTTACTTCTAATATTACAACAGATGGCATTTTATTATTCTGATAAAGAATACGGAGTTTTTTACACGGAATATATTTTTAATGTTTGTTCATTACTCCCAAGATTATTGGATTTTCTTTATATGGGTTCTGTGATAAATTCAAACATAATCTTGTTGAATAGAATATACTTAGTTTTTTGTAAAAAATTACCATCTTTCTATAAAAACTATAATGAAGAGGACATAAGTAATAACAACAAAACACATTTTAAAGAACAATTAGATCATATTAGTTTATTTATACAAAGCTCGGTAGAAGAAGAAACGGAACTAGAGAAATACTTGTATAATAAGTTTGAAAAATACGAGTTCCAGAATATCAAATATCTTTCAACAATTTACGAGATCATCGGTAGTATCAACATGATCCCAATAATGAAAAATAACCCCGGTATACAATTCTACGATATTTTTATTAATTATTCTCAATATCAGAATATGATAATTCAAACACCGAAATCACTCAAGGGTATAGGTAAAAACATTCAACGAGTCACTGACAATGGTTTTGAGAAGATTAATGAAAATTATATAGAAATAATTATTCAGAATGAATGTGGTGAATTAAATAATCGGCTAAAAGAACAGGATTTAACAAAACCCACCGTAATATATGAATTGATGTTGTTTACATTTAAAAGGCTAACTAATGATTATTTATATTATATATCAGAAAGTTTAAATACACTAAACGAAAATACTGAATACCTGAAAATCAAAAACAATTTGTTGGTTATGTTGGAGGTTACGTGCAACTATTTTCCATTAGTTCTTATGTACCTAATAGAATTAAATATAAACGATACTAATTTGTTAAGCTTGTATTTGACGTTCTGCAGCAACTCTAAAGGATTCGCTAATAATGTTCGTTGTTCGAGTTTTTTTCAGGCCACTATAGCAGATGAGGGTTCTGAGAATAATAGGAATTGTAAACTGGAATCGACGAGAAACTATTTAATGAGGAATATCTTAACAATAACTGATAAAGTTTCTGAGATTAATAAAAATGTATATAATGAAGTATGCACTAAAGCGAATTTAGATTTTATAAAAAACATCCATGATTTCGTATTTAATGAACATTATGAAGGATCAACTGTCCCAGTATGGACCACGTTCGAGTGGTTGAGCGGTACTTATTTTCTGACCGATAATCACAGTAGCGATGACATGAACGAAATAAAGTTTAGTAATATGACCATTAAAGGTGAAAATATGAGTTTATCAGTTGCGTATTATGCGATAGTACCATGGATTTTGAACAGCCAAGCTATTATGAATTTTCATAACACAATTTTCATGAATCTTAAAACAACAATGGATCTTTACGTTTACCAACATGCCGTAATTATAAATTTGTACTTAAAGAATCAACGAAATAACATCAATTGGAACGCCGAAGATAAAGTAATAAAATTCATACGTAATAGTTTTTTGTGGTATAAACAAGGGACGATCATTTTTTACGAATATCTAAATTTACCGTACGTACAAGGTCTCAAAAATGTTGCTAAATTAGACAGTATAATTTCTGTAATTGAGAATATAAACAAAACAAATTTTAGAGATATCGACATACTTATTAAGGACTACGACGTTAAGGATAATATGAGACAATTGTTCGATAAAAAAATTTTTAAATCCAACGAAATTTACGATAACAGATATGGTATAGCTATAGAATGGAATTGTATTAATGCTATAGACTTCGTGAATTCTTTTGTTTTGATCGTAAACAAATCAATGAGAATTGAAATCGAATTCGATAAAGAAAAAATGAAGGAATTATACTGTTTAACTCATAATATTTTTGGTAATAAATCCCGAGTTGGAACAAAATCGAATAGCTCTAAATGCGTTGGCATGGTTTCCTCTTTTCCACGAAGCCTAAGACGTTTTTTCTCACGTAATCGGGAATAATGCAATTTTCCTGTGGTTATTTATGAGTATATAAATATTATATTATATTATAAAACATTATCTTAATCTTAAATTACAGTACACTAAATAAACAATACGAAAACATTTTTAATTTAAAAAAAAACTCTTTCATTCTAATTGATTTTTTTTTTTTTCATTAAATAAGTTAAATATAAATAAATTACATACTATGCTAATTCATCTTAATTTTAATATAAATTGTTTTTTCAATAACACATAATTATTTAGTAGTTAATTAGGTAAATTTTCAAAATTCAAAAAGAATAATTATATTAAATTTATTGTTAAAACATTTTCAATTGTATTTGTTTGAAATTAAATGTAAAATATATTTGATACTATTTTTCCTAAATATATAAAAGAAGGTGTGGGTTTACTTTTGTTTGTTCTTCATTGATATGTGATACAGAAATACAAAATTATTAACGCTGTTATAATTATTCGTGATATAAACGTATATCACGTTCATGATAGTATAGGGCAGTAGCACATTTAGAGGGGTATCCTGGGGGTTAACATCCTCAATATTTTTTATAGTTCTATTCGTTATTGAATTATCGCAAAATATTATTAATGAATGACGAAATATTTTAAAACTGCTTTGAACATTTTTATCATGGGTTATAATAATTGGAGATTACCAACGATAATAATAGGTATTAGGTTTATGTGTGTTACACGAATATATTGTGAATAAAATATTAAAATTATTAATACATATTCAAATGTTTTAATGTGTATTAATAATCAAGTATTCGTGATAAAACTATGTTAATATTTGTGGAGAAAAACTATTGCCAGGAGTCAGGACACCCACCTCCTCCCTAAAAAAGCGCAAAATACGCTACTGGTATAAGACAATGCCACAATCAAATGATTTCATGAATATTAGCATCCTATAATTATTAATCAGAAAAGACAGAAAACCAAGTCGTCATCCACATTATCATCTATTATTATAACTGTTTTAAATTATATGTAATTATTATGAATTCTTCGTCGTGTCAGTCAGCTAAGTCAAATTTATTTTTTGAACTACTAGTTGATTGGCTTGTTGACTTTCTTATTTGAATATTGAACCATTATAATGCTACATTATTAACAAACGATCACAAATAAATAACTCTATTTTTGCAAATACTAGTATAATTTCGTAAGTGACTAATACATAACTAAGTTTATTATTAGAAAAAATGGTTTAATCGAAAAATGGCTAAAGACCTTTTTTGTTGCATTTTGGATCTAGATACACACGAAACAAGTTGTTTCTTTATTGTTTTCAATTTTCATAATAATTGGGTAAAACCAATGAAAAAAGAAAAAGACGAAAAATGTACAGCGTACGATTTTATTATTTTAAATTGGTACACACGATGTTTTCTACTAAAAATATGGTGTCAATAGAAAAACGACAAGTGATCTTTTTTGTTTAATTTTTAATCTAGTTGGCGAGTAAGTAATTTGTTTTTTAATTTTTTAAGTATTTTTTATAATAATTAAGTGAAACTGAAAAAAAGTAGAAAGAACGAGAAAATTTACGAAAATAATGTTTTTATTACAGTCAATTTGTTTTTCAGTTATACATATTCGTAGACATGCAATTTTGATAGAAAAATTATATTTACGTTTTTCAGATCAAATAAAATAATTGCTTGATTGACGATTAATCTATTATACGGTTATACGATTATACTGTGACTAAATCAAACGGTCATCATTGTTATTTATTATCGATTTTAATGGATTATTCGGTTTATTAATTAATAATAGACTATTTGTTTAAAAATCATCCACTTTCTTATATTCGATTAATCGATTATATTCAAAAACTATAAGAATAATAAATTAGTTTGGGGAAAAAAATAATCACGTAATCCTCTTAGCACTCCTAAAATGAAAATTCAACGTTAACATTTTTAAATTCATAACTAATTTTCTAATAGACGGAACCTTCGAAATGAAAGTCAAAGATACAGTATCATCTGATTTTGGAACAGAAAACGGATTACTCCAAAGATCTTCGATAAGCATAACACTGTTCTTAATAGCTACCCATGGTGTTGGTGAACCCATCAAACCTCCAGTCAAAATTATACTATACGCTCATGACTTCACATCAAAACAACAATTTCTCTCACATAAGATTTAATAAATAACGTCATTTAATGGTCCACAGAGACAGGATTCAAGTTTTCTCCCGAAAAAGCTTAACCAATTTTATTTAGCCGCAAGAATAAAATTATAGGACCATAGATAAAAAAAGAGCTGGTACTAGAGTTGGGAGCAGCCACTGTTGTAGGAGAGAAGTTGAGAAGGTAGGATACATAAGGTTATTTCATTTATATCTATATGCAACGATTAACCATTGCTTGACGAAAGACGATTCCGAGCACAGTTCGGTAATGTGTAATTTGAAATGTCGTATTTTTTTTTTTTTGCAATTTCTGTTAAAAAATTGATTTCAAACACGCTTATTAAAAAAGGAAAAAAAGTCGTCCGATGATTTTAACACTTTTACCGCGTCTAGGTTATTCTAATATAAGTATTATTACCAAGTTTCAAGTCTCTACGTGTATTTATAACCGAATTAGAACAAAAAACTCCCAAAAATTAAAAATTCTTAAAAGCTCAAAAAAGGCTCAAAAGTTTTAGCAATAATACCGTAAGAAAGTAAATAAAAAAAAAACAAAAAAAGTGTTTTGTGAATTTTCGATTTAAATATTTTTTCTGATAAAAAACGTCGTCCGTGTATTTATAAAATAATGAAATCGTGAAATTGTACTTTTAAATTGTACATTGTAAATGCTTTTATTTAAAAAATAGCTTTGAAATTAAAAATGACGACTTTAAAGTAACATCTAGATAACTTGAGATTTCAGAAAAGTTGCTACACGTAAAAATCGGAGGGAGTTTACTAGAAAAAAAAAGTGTCCCCAGACTAGAAAAATAAAAAATAAACATCTTAATTAACATCTTAGTAAAACCAATAGCTCTCTCGCTACGCTCGAAATCTAAAATATAAGGAATAAAACTTCCCAACACAAACAGTACCTCCTTCTTGGGCCTAACGTTCACCAATAAATTCAACTGGAAAGATCGTATAAAAACGATAATAATATCTATATTCAAAAATCTAAATAAATCTGTCAATCATTTTAAATGGAAAGCAGATCGAAAAACGCTCCTAATTCTTTTTAACTTCTTGATACAATCTACATTAGACTATGGATCAATCATTTACATCTCTGCAAACTTAAGCACTCTAATAATACACTCAACACTGGACAAAATACTTACACAAAAATGGCTATCCGAACTTTCAGATCAAGTTTAATGGATAATATGTTATGCATAGTTAATTGCCTACCACTAGATATCAGACAAAAATTCCTTATATTTAAATTTGCAATCAAAAAGATGTCTATCCATCAAACAAATACGATCATCTCAAAAGTCTATTGAGATTACTTTTGAAACCATTATCTATAATGATATTTCATGATATCCCCGAAGAAATATAATCTATCTCAAGAATTCTACCATGGAACACAAACCACATAGAACCCAATATAGAACTTAATCAACTTACCAAAAGGTCACTTCCCACAACCAGATCATTAACACGTTTTACGAAATAGTAAACAATTAATTCACAAAACTACTGCCAAATCTACACAGATGCCTCCAAAACAACGAAATCGCTACTGCACACACAGAAAACCACAATCTTTACAAATTTGCGTCTTTCTCCAGGAAATACACTGCAAAAACGTTCGTAATACTTGAAACCATATCCTACTCTCTCCACTCACAAGTCACAACTAACAATGAACAAGTTTTCATTCTAAATGATTTCATGAGTACTATGCCTTCAATATCAAATAAAATACCAAATACAAACTCGCCCGAAGCATCCAAAACATTATCTATACAACTAAAATAATCATCAAAGATCAAAACACATCTAATGCGTAAGGAACCAATATCCATGTCTGAAACGTGTTTCTACGTACTCTCCATGGAACACATTTTCTTAGAATGTCCCAATTTTATATTATAATATTAACACGTCTAAGAAAAAAATGTATAAATAAACCTCACTTCAATCAAAGAAACATTCGAACCCAGACAAGAATTAGAGCTTATCTAAGGTCTAACATCTCTTTGTGTCCCGCTCGTACCGGGGCCGTCGTCTGTTGCTGGCGCGTCTGGTTCTCCCCATGTTGTTGCGTTCCGTTTACGAGATCGACGGCTATTACGTCGCCCGCCGGAGTTTTTTCTGCAGTTTTGACTGTACCCAGTGTTTTTCTGCCTCGTTCGTTCCGTCCGTCCGCGTCCGTCTGTCCGCTCATCAACGCCGTGATTGTCGCGTTTGTTCAGCCACTGAAGCAAACCGTAAACGGTTTTTTAATACTAACAGTAACTATCGTTTCAGTTTTATGTGTCACCACTTGGAATTGCTGGGCTGGTGCGCCACTGCCATCTTCGTCCAGACACCGTCTTTGCAGTCGTACACACGGTCGTGTAATTATTGTTTTTGTATTTATTTTATTACCTTATGTCGCTTTGTAACGGGAAGTCATTTTCGTCACGACCTTTCACTTTCTTTATGATTTTAAATTTAGTTACATACTCGCAGTTTAATGTATAATAAATCACAAGGAAAATATGCCATCTTAAAGTTGTGAACAAATGTGTTACCATTTTTTTATAAATATTTTTGTCACGTCGTACCACATTATCATATACCTAACTCAGGGAAAGTCACCGCCAGTAAGTGCCCGGCGACGTAACAATTATTTTGCCTTAACTATACCTATGTTCTCTTGTTTTAATGTATTTCTCATATTTAGTAACACTTTGAATGTAATAATAGTATGCAATTTAAACTATTGTAGCCTATTGAACTAATATTTATTTAATAATAAAAAAAATAAAAAAACCTTTTAAGTCTTTTAAATTAGAGATTATTTATTCAATTGTTTGTAAAAGCAACATATATCACTATTTGTTCTGAAATATGACGTCTTTGTAAAATTAACAGCGATATATGACATTTGACTACGTATACCAAGTAAGATACTTCGCAATATCTAATAATGATATGATATGTGAACAAATCAAGAACGCGGAGATAACATCAGTATAGATAAATACAATGATATGATTTTTATTACAGACATTTATAAACTCATTCAAAAAATTGATAAAATATCATTGATAAACCACAGGAATTTTCCAAATGACAATATTTTAACAAATTTACATCAAAATTATCTATATTTAAAAATAAAAACGCCGTCGGATACACGTTTAAAGTTTGAAGAAGAATTCAAAAATTTGTACAGAAATTATAAAACCAAAACCCAATATATGTCATACAACATATTATTAACTCTGTCAGAAGACTTATTAAAATCTTTGTCGACGAGTTTTTTGGCACGCGATTTATTATTGTTTGCGTTTGAGGGTCTTGAAAATTATTTTATACCGAAAATTGTTCAATATATTGAAAAATTAGGTACAGCAGAAAACAGGTACGGATTGAGCCATCGGACAATCGGGAAATTCCCGATGGGCTGCTTGCTAACGAATTAGTATGGACTGATGGAATACAGGTTGTAAATTTTTCTGTTTTAATCAAAAAAAAATCAGCTGCATCAATAACTATTGGCTTTAAAATTATGTTTATTACTTTTTTTTTTTTTTATACTGATAGAAATAAATGTAAATTGATATAATATAATCACCTCCGTAATAATATTATATGTAGATGTAATAATAATAATAACACTGGTTATTCCGAGCGGCAACGCCGTCGTCGTAGTATGCGACCGGAGGCGGGTGACGGCGGCGATGACTTTCGACAATGCGAGCGTGTTTGGTTGATAAAATGGTTTTAGATTCAAAGTGAAGCGAAGAAGTTTATGGTTTTACGAAGATGTTTATTTTTTTTTGTGTGTACAACTTTTCTACCAGAGATCTTGCTCCGATTTTCAAGTGTAACACTTTTTCTGAAAGGAAATCGGCGTGGGAGAATAATTTACAAAGGTTATTTTAGATTGTCCCAGCAAATGTGAAAAACCGGGAAATTAAAATTATTAAAGAAAATATATAATGCCTATTTAATTATTTTACCTTAATATGACACTAACACATATATTTTTAAAAAAACTTTAATATCAACTGAACCCTGCTCAGAATCGTTTTTTCGTTAGCAATGATTTATCGTTACTTACAGATATAAATTAAATAACCTGTAACAGTGGCTGCACCCACCCCATTATCCTAGGACGTCTTTTTTTTTTATCTATGAACATCTTTTCTACCAGAAATCTTGTAATGTGAAAGGTCTTTTTCATTTTTGAAACATACAAAGACAAGGGTTCGCAATTAACTGTCAAATGCTTATTTAGTCAGAAGCATTTATGTTAATGTGTATTAAAAAACAAAAATTAACATTATTAGCCACTGATAAAATTATCGAAGTAATTCAAAAAAAGATTTCTCTAAAAAAATTCTCATTATAAATTATTAACATCATTATTTAAATATATTAAAAAGGTTTATGTGTAAT